TCATCTGCAAAAAAAAAAAATCAACATAATTGTCAAGCCTGAATACACTGTCCTGAGACTGGGAGAAAATTCAATAGTTGTTGAGAAATTATAAGATGCCAATTTTACAAGACAGACATAATTTCTGAAAATGAAAATGGAATTAGAGATGATTCTCTAAGAAGACCATTCTGCATTGGCTTATTACATATTAATAATACTGTGATAAGAAGGGCATCATAGCTCAGTATTAGATACTGCAAACAGCAGATCCTAGATTTAATTTTGGCATTTCTCTCTTTCTTTCAAACATCCAAAAATAGGTGATAGAGAAGAATTTGCACCTTGAGAACTTCACTGAAATCATTCATAATGGTTCTGCTCTAGGCACCTCCATTTTCAAGATTTAGGTAGATTATCTAAGGGCCTTTTATATTGCCCTAAATCAATTTGATTTTGATTTGGCATGCATGCTGCATATCGGATTTAGAAAAGTCTGGTGTAATTTTAAGCCTCATAATTATTTTCTTCTTTGATTACTATAATGACTTTGAATTTCAATATAAGCTTCTCTGCAGATCTAATTAAGTCAAATATAAATCGTTTACAATTAGATTTATTTACCACAGAATATTCATAACTTTTGTTCACAGCTGAAAATTGACAGCTGGTCATATGAAATAACTGAAAATCAAGATATTTGAGAATATGAGAGGCTACTGGAAGTATCTATTTATAATTCACACATGAAAGCAAACATTAGATATTACAATCATTGTGAGATAATCCTTCATAAATGGGCTTTTTCCTAGAGTTTGCTGAATTGTTTGCATTGACATTCTCAAAATAGAGCAAAATGTTCCCTCCCTAAGTTTGGAAGTGACATGTGGGATAGGTAGGTCTTCCTTTTTTTCCTATTGTTCAAATATATTGCTGGAAAAAGGGAAAGCTTTTCTATTATCTTTTCCTCCAGTTCTTCCATTGTTACATATCTTTCACTGCTTTATGCAGCAGTCTGCCCCTAGCAAAAGATGAAGTAGGAGATCCATAATTTATCAACTCCAGTTGCCATCATTCCAATTTATAGGGTTTTATGGGGGTTTTGTGTGTCACTTTAAGGGATGCTCTTTGAGATGGGTTGGGATAATATTAGTGTGGTGGAGCTTAGTTAATATTTCTTAACCTTGCCATTTCTTTGACTCAGTGCTGTGCAAAAGGGAACTATTAAAATGCTGTCCCTTCTTACCAACTGGACATTCTCTTCTCTTCTCTTCTCTTTCCTATTCTTCACTTAATTCAATTTGATATGGCTACCACTCCAGAAGCCACCCAGCTTAAAAAATACACAGAGTAAGACAGTTAAAACAGTTCCTTCTAAAGAATGCTTTTTTTCAAAAAAAGGGGGGAAAATTATATTCTTTGATATCATTTCACCATGTTCCATAATAGTCTATCCATAGAAATGAACTCACTGGTCAACTAAGCTATCAAACTTTGAGGGAAATAATCAACATTTAAAAAAACAAATATCATTTGTTGGTATTAGTTACATGGCTTACCTAGGATTCCAGTTATTGTTAGCTAATCTAGGATCACCACTGAAGTTGATTGTCATTATACTGAACTAGTTGTGAAGAAGCTTGCTCCCAGAAGAAGGTATTCTTTTACAGGAATATCCTTGTGAATTTCTTAGTTTTGTCTGCCATAATTCATGGTGTTTCTATGTGCCTCAGCATACAGTCATGCTGGCCATATGACCACAAAAGTGTCTTTGGACAACACTGGTTCCCTCAGATAAGAACGATGAACACCTCCCCCTTGAGTCAGGCACAAGTGGAGAGGGGAAACTTTTACCTTCAACTTTAATTCATGGTGTTACATATCACCTACAAAGCCATGCGTGGTTTGGGGTTTCAATACCCGTGAGACCATCTGCCTGCTCCCTGAAAGACTTTCCTCCTCTGAAGAGCTTGCAGTTTAAAGTAGAAGGGCTCCGACATTCAGGGTCTTCTGAAGACTTATAACAATTTGTGTGTGTGGGGAGGGGTTATTATTATTATTTGGAACACTTCTGGAAATGGAATTGTGGTAGAAACACTGATGCCAGATGGATAGACTGTTGATGTCATAATTAGTTTATTTGGTCCTAATCTTATTTTATTGTTGTTTAGCAACAGCAATAGCAGAACGTCATTGGAATGAAGGGATACATGAATTCTATAAAAAAATAAATATCTTCTTTCTAGCATAAATTGGTCTCATACTTGATACTTTTGTTGTTGTTAAAAGTTATCTGTATGTCCTTAGATATTTCTACTTCATTATATGGTTGGTTGAGAGTTCTCATGCATGATGACCATGAGGGAGGGAGGGAGGGAGGGAGGGAGGAAGGAAGGAAGGAAGGAAGGAAGGAAGGAAGGAAGGAAGGAAGGAAGGAAGGAAGGAAGGAAGGAAGGAAGGAAGGAAGGAAAATATAAAGGAGCAAGTCTACTGGAACCATATTTCTTACCATCAGTTACAGAGAAAATGCTTAATCCTCCAATCCTTGTCCTTTTGTGCACCCTGACTATAGTTCGCTAGATGCTTACAGGACCTATTTCAACATGACTAGTGCACATCAAACAATCTATAATCTGTTGTACCTAATGGCCTATCAGTACAACAGCAGCTAGTGCATAAAATAATTTTTTCTATCTTGTTTTAAATCAATATATTATAATTCATTTAATTCAATATATTGTGACTCAGCAGATTTTTTTTCATAAAGGATCACTATTTCATGCATGTGTGATGCATTCACATTTGACCTGCATATTGCATATTGGAAAAATAAAGGAAATAGTGGTTATAGGTTGTGATTTGCAAAGATAAATTTGCATTACTCTCCAAGGGACTTTCAGATATGTAAAAGGCAAGTCTAAAGATCAGTTCTGTGTATTTAGCTGTATATCAACATGAGAGTATCTGATGTTCACAACTTTAATAACTCAGGCTTAAAGTATGCCCTGTATAGTCCGTATCAATCTTGGGTTTCAAAATACTTTGGACATTTTGTTCTGATTGGTTATCCTGATTGCTCTGTATGCTTTAAAATTGGGAACATAGGGTTTATATAGTCAAAGTTTGCCTTGAGAATCTAATATATCTGTCTAAACCTGTCCTGGGAGACACAGTTTATTTAAAAATGTTTATAAAATGAAGCTATAAGCTGTAAAACAACACCTGTTCATCTTTCCAGGAGTTCTGTAATGGATAATAAAATGACACACATACTTGTGTACAGTATACTGTTGGTTAAAAAAAAAAAAGGAAAGGAAAAAGACATGCACTGTGAATGAGATGTATTTCACCTCGTGAATGAGATGTATTACACCCTATGAATGAGATGTATTTCAGTCTGCTTGGGAACCAAAGTATCATGGTCAAAATAAGAGTAGGCAGCTAAGAGGAGCTAATATAATTTGCATATTTACCAAAAAGTAAAACACACTTTCTTCAGATAGGATTTATCAAGTCTAAGGCATACAGATCTGCACAGGGTTTAAGCAACAGACCAGTGATGGCAAACCTTTTAGAGACCGAGTGCCCAAACTGCAACCCAAAACCCACTTATGCATCGTCGGGTGCCAGGTGGGTGTGGCCCATTGGGTGGGCATGGCTGCGGTGGTAACAGCAGACTGGGTGGGACTAAAAAATTCAATCAATCAATTCCAAACTTGTGAGATATTTTTTTTTCGCAAGAAGTTGAAATTGATTGATTGAACCTTTTTTTTTGTACACGGTGGCAGAGGCCTAAAGCAAAAAGGTTTTATAAAACCCAGCTGAAGGCCTAGGATGAGAGTGACGGCGCACACGCCCACAGAGAAGGGTCTGAGTGCCGCCTCTGGCACCCGTACCATAGGTTCGCCACCACGGCAATAGACCATTACATATTAATCAGTATTTTTTTCTTTTAATTTCATTTCTGCAACACCATCATCATCTGTTGCCACTCCTTATGTTAGTCAAGTTGGAGTAGTTGTGTTGTACACAGAAGCACTTGGAAGGTGGGGGCGGAGGAGAGAGTTTTAAGAAGACATCCCTGAGTAAAATAAGCTTTTCACTTGTCTGCATGGAGTCTAGTCTTACTAGATGCTAAAACATTCATGGACCATATTTTCTGAACAATTGGAAGATTTTAAAAAGGGAGGGCAAGGAATGCCAACTTAAAAGAAACAGCTATATATAAAATCTATATTTCTGATCATGCATAGAATGAAAGTCCAGTATTGAAGCATTTCTCTGTTTTCTGCCTACCTGTTCTTGTCTTGCGTCATGTGCCTTCCTTCAAAAAAATCAAATCTTGGTACACACCCAACTGCTTTCCTCCAGCCATACATTTTATCCTGTCGCAACGTCTTTTGCCAGTATAAGACAGGCAGATGTTGAAGCTTTCCAAAGCAGGCCTCATTCTTGGCACATCAATGACACCCCTAGTCATCCTGGAAACATTGTCAGCTTGGTGGAGTGTGACTCTATGTTGCCTGCAAAATACTTCATTCTATAGTTGGGTGGATCTCCATTCATATTTTTGGGCTCCTGGAATTAATCAAAGTAGGTGTGTGTGATGCAGAGGAAGAATAGATGCAGAGCACTAGAGATGTACAGATGTACATTGAGTACCTGTGGTTGCTGTGGGCTTCTTCTTCTGATTTCTAATTATCCAGCTCAAGTTCTGGAAATGGCAAATCCCAGAAAGGAAGTGAATAGGCATACAATGAGAAGGAGTATAATATGCTGTCTATGCGGTGCAGTGCAAAGCAAGCAATAAAAAGATGCCAAGCAGAGACATCAAAGTACAAAAAAGGAAATATTCAGAATTTTGATAAATGGAGAAGTGAAAGAGATGGATATGCAATATGGTGTGTGTTTTGCACACAAGACACTTGATTGGATGAAAATATTTTTTTTAATGTTTTACATGCTTTGAAATTATGTGATATGGTCATGTAGCTTTTTCTTCCTTCTTTTTTCAACTCCAGGAACTTTTTAACCAGTTATGATAAGGAAAGCATTTTCACCATGGACCACTTCCCCCTTTGGTATCGCCGAGCAGCTGAACATCCTCCGGGGAGCTTCGTTTATAGCCTTTCTTTTGAAGAGGATTCAGGTACCTACAGCGAAATATTGTGCCTTAAAACAGCTGATGCTTAGCTAGTCAGAAGACAGATTTCAGTGGAAGCAAGAATATTTTCACTCCTTGCTTCACACAACCAATCAATAGTGGGGCCATTAATTTTCCATGAGTGCAGCACACAACTGATTTGTGCTGATTGTTTCATGGCCAAAAGAGTGCCACCCCTGTTCAACAAGCAGCTTTCTGCAAATTCAAGAATATGCCAATGCTTGTAGAGATATAAAGGGTTTCTGACTGGAACACTTGTGGGTTATCTCAAGTCCTCTCCTTGTCTGAAGAGGAATGACAAAGAACCAGTCTACTGGCTGACTTTTTATTCTGCTATGGTTATCAACTCTGCTTTTTTGTTAAACTATCTTCAGTCCACCATTTCTTTCCTCAAAGTCCAAGGAGTGCCCATTTTAGCACACTTGCTTAAATTGCCATGACAGTGTACGAGGGCAATTTGGAAATAAACCTTCATTTGAGTAAGTGAGAGAAATAGACGGGAATAGCGACGCCCATCCTATGGCACCGTGTGCAGTAGTTCAGTAGGCAGTGAGGAGTGAAAGAAGGTTGTGTTGCAGTTGACTCATCTGCTAGATCAGTGGTTCTCAACCTGTGGGTCGGGACCCCATTTGGGGTCGAACGACCATTTCACGGGGGTCGCCAAACCACGCAGTCCGCCATTTTTTTCCCCTTTTCCCTAGCTGTCCTACTCCCTCTTATTGGTGGCCACACCCACTTGGGGGTCACCACAACATGGGGAACTGTATTATGGGGTCACGGCATTAGACAGGTTGAGAACCACTGTGCTAGATCAATTAAAAATGAACCTAGCCATAGTAAATCCCTCCAAATGTGAAGTGCGTGCAGTAACACGATTCCTGTGTGTGAAAAAAACTTTCGGCAGCTGCGATTCATCGTGAACTGTGTAATGTTTATGGACCAAACGTGATGAGTGAAGGTATCTTACATCAATGGTGTTGCAGGTTTAAAGATGGATGAACTGACTTGCACAATGAGGCAAGAAGTGGCTGCCCATCTGTAGTCAGCGATGAACTCACACAGGAAATTGACAAAACGTTCCGGGAAGTCCATCGGTTCACAATATCTGCATTTTCTTTACACTTTCCCCAAATTTCTCGAACTCTTTGGATGAGGTAGTGACAGAAAATTTGGAATACCTCAAGTTCGATGCTTGTTGGGTACCAAAACTCCTTTCTGAGGAGCACAAAACACACTGAATGGGTTCACAATGCTGTTACAGGGTGGCTTCATTCCCAGGTGGGAGATTTTTTTGCGGAAGGAATCTCAAATCTTGTAAAACGTTATGACAAGTGCCCCAATTTGAATGGCGACTATGTCAAAAAGTAATGTAATGTTGTAGGTTTCTAATTTGTATAATAAAAGTTCTGTATCCGTGAGTGTCTGTCATTGATAATCAAACGGAGGTTTATTTCCGAATTGCCCTCGTAGTACTGCATGTTTGCTTACAATGAAAAATGATCTACACAGAATGACTTTGTAAGGCAGCCAAGATTGGTCCAGTGCAAAAATACTGTAAAGATGATTTGTGTCACATGCCTTCATTAATCACAGAGGCTCAAGCACAGCTCCCTAATCCCAGGAAAACCTCTCAAATCAGAAACCCATCCCAATATTAGTCAACATTTAAAAACCTAGCATCTATACTCAGGGGAGTCCACATGTTCTGCTGCTCAGGGATTGCATAGACAAACCGCTATCAGATGGCTCAAGTGCACTGTTGGGGGTGGAATGGTAACAAGAAGTTGCATCAAGATTTAGGGCTATCAAATTAGTTTCTAGAGAACTACGGTGGTAGTACAGGGGTCCTCAATCTTGACAACTTTAAGACTTGTGGGCTTCAACTCCCAGAATTCCTCAGCCAGCTTTGCTGGCTGAGGAATTCTGGGAGTTGAAGCCCACAAGTCTTAAAGTTGCTGAAGTTGGAGATCTCTGCCATAGTAAGCAAAAAAGAGGTAGTCTTCTGTGTCTCTTTTCTGCCATCTAATAGCTGTCCTAATCATTGTGAAGTGAAACTAGATGCCATGCCCTCCACAGCCTGCTTCTGTTTTCTGTTCTTCCTCCACCTTCATGACACCCTAGGGAAATAATTTGGTTCTTCTATGACTGCCTGCCATCCTTGCAGACCATTAACAGATTTGGGTTTTTTAAGATTGAAGGCAAGGGGATCCCATGCTTGCAGACCCAAGGCAGTGAATGCTTGTGTGTGACTGTACCCAACTGGTGTTTCAGAAATGCATTGAGGGAGGGATGGAGAAGGGGAAGGCCATTCCAGATTTTGTAAAGAGGAACAGCTCACACCAGTCTAGCAATCTGTTGAGCTGTGTTTCCCTCAAGATTGCATATGGAAATAAACTTCCCCTTCTCCAATCTAGAGCTGATAGTCAGTGTACATCATGGGTATCAAACTCGATAGCGCCATGTGACCTAATGTGATATATCACCAGTGGTGGGATTCAGCCAGTTCGCACCACTTTGGCACAAGCGGTAGCTAATTTTTTGTTGCCTTGGCTCAAAATGGACTTCCGGAAGTGGCATCCACACAGAGAAACAGTTGTTCACGTATTTGAATCCCACCACTGTGCATCACAGTTTTTTGCCTTTGCTGAACCAGGGTGGGTGAGGCCTGTGCATAACGTATCCAGCCTGTTGGCTGCCAGTTTGACACCCTTGGTGTACATTATGCAGGATATGCATTAAAAGATAGATCAGTTGGGTAACTTTGAGAATTTTAGATTTTAGACTCTGGAATCTTAGAAAGCCTCCAGCTCATAACAGGTTATGTTTCTAGAGACACTGGATATGGACATTGTTGATAAATAAGAAACTAAACAGAACGAGGGCAAAGTTTACAAAATCTGGTAAATATATGATGGCTAAAAATGAATCTAAAGGTTTTTTTCTGCTTTCTTTTTCTGCACTCAAGCACCATGATGGTGGTGTACAATGCACTAACTGTGAATCTTTTTTTGGCATTGTGGTGGGAAGAAGGGTGGGTGGAGAAGACAACAACAAGGAAGGCAAGATTGGGGAGCAAAGAAAGTGAACTGGAAAATTAAAGCGCATGCAAGATTGAATGAAAATACCTGAACTTTCTCTTGCTCTCTAGTTTCCTTTCATTTAACTTCAATAGCTATCACTTTATTACTATTTGAACTAATCAGACCAATACAGCTGGATTCTAGGACTCCTGAGATTGAAAGCTGAAAAACCTTAGGCCTTGAATCAAGGTTTAGTAATGCAAAGATGATTAGGGGACTGGAGGCTAAAGCATGTAAGGAACGGCTGCTGGAATTGGGTATGTCTAGTTTAATGAAGAGAAGGACAAGGGGGGACATGATAGCAGTGTTCCAATATCTCAGGGGCTGCCACAAAGAAGAGGGAGTCAAGCTATTCTCCAAAGCACCTAAAGGCAAGAGAAGAAGCAACGAATGGAAACTAATCAAGGATAGAAGCAACCTAGAATAAGGAGAAACTTCCTGACAGTTAGAATAATTAACCAGTGGAACAACCTGCCTCCAGAAGCGGTGAATGCTCCAACACTGGAAGTTTTTAAGAAGAGACTGGACAGCCATTTGTCCGAAATGGTATAAGGTTTCCTGCCTGAGCAGGGTGTTGGATTAGATGATGTCCAAGGTCCCTTCCAACTTTACTACTACTACTACTACTACACTACTACTACTACTACTACTACTACTACTACTACTACTACTATTATTATTATTATTATTATGTACCTCTTCAAGATGGCTGCACAAAGCCATACTACTTTGCAAAGTTGCAGCAAACAGAAGTGACAAAACAAGATTTATGATCTTGTTTCAGACCTGATCTGACACATTCTGCTAGCTTAGAATGTTTCCTCTTGAGTTTTATGCTGGCCAGTTAATTCTGTTAAGTTATATTCCCTTAATATTCTCATTTGGCTGGTATCTTGAAAATTAAAAATTACCAGTTCCATCAATTATTGTGGCTCTATTCCTTGGGAATAAGAGGAAACACTTTTCATGTCTCCCCATCTCCCTATTGTCCATAATATGGCAGTTTGTGATTGTCCATAAATTACATAACCTTTTGGCTACTTATTTTCAACACCCACCCACCTCCTTTAGCACTGAGTGCTAACGATATAAACATCTCTAAAATTAATCTGCCAGCATTCTAATGTATTATTTTGGACAGGCATTTCAGGAAGAAACATTGCTTAGTAATAGCAGGATGCTGATGGGAAATGCCCTCATTTGACCTCACCCCATAGATTATTGTCCACCGCTTTTCTTTCTGTCTTCCTTGTTTCTGTCTACTGGTTTAGCTTCTTTTTTCCTTTGCGATCTTGTCAATTTCATTTTGCTCAAATTCTAATAATAATTTTATTTAATTATTTGTATTTATATTTATATCAAATTTAGAAATCTCCCATCTCCATTACAGAGTTGACTCTGGGCAGTGTACGAGTAAAATATGAAAACATAAAAACCGAATTGTGCCATTGCTGTAACAGGAAAGATACATAGGATCTTGGATCTCACCAAGGGTCTACCTTGACTCTCACAGAACATACTATAATATCAGCTAGGATCCAGAGGGATGCACTACAAGAAGTCATAGCATGGGACTTGGGTGGTGCTCGTCACACTGTCAGCTAGATATTTAGACTGGATTGGCATTTTTGTCTACTCACTAAGAATCATTAACACTCTAAAAGTCAACAGGGAGACAACCTGAATGACTGAGAATCTTCATAGACAATTGGTTTCCCCATTGACTTTGTTTGTGGGAAGCTGGCAGAGTGCATGAATGTCGCAACAGCCACAACTTTGCAAATAAAATTGTCTGAACATCATATAAATTTCAATTCCACATGAATCCTGGATTTTCTATGCATTCCTTAAGTCAGTGGATTGTAGGCCCCTTGATTAAAAATGTTGTGGTATAATGCAACCTGAAGGTACAAACAGAAAGATAAACATAATGAGAGCTTTAGTAGTATATAGATGAATGCTGTCCCAAAGGAAAGTTCTTGAAATAAGGGCCAATGCAATGTATAAAGACTAATACACTTAGGCCTCTCACAAATCTATTTCCAAGGCTTTAAAAAAAAAAAAAGGCAAAAGAGCTGAAGCTAAAACTGAATGAAGCTACAAAATTATGTTCAGGACATATTGGGCATTAAAGATCAAGCCAAGAATGTGACAAGTGACAAGTGTTGGAACTGTGAAGGAAGAGAAAGAAAATCCCTTCTGTTGCATGGAACATTAAGTAAGCAATATACTGGAAAGAAAGTCAGGAATAAAAGTCAAGAAAAAATATAATCAGAAATGCTGATCTTTCAGACTTCTAAATAACAAATGGTGAACTGAAGATGGCTCCACTAAAAGTAGAAGTGATATCCATTGTGGAATGAAGACCTGGCAATGAGTAGACCAGCTCTTTGTAATTCCCCTCTGGACAAAGAGAGAACTTGAGATCACCCACAAGCACTCCATACATTTGTTCCTCACAAGGAAACACAAGATAGCTGTCTCTGGCAAGGTTAGAGCTCTGAGAAACAAGCGAACAGCTATCTACTTCAAACCATAGTTAGCACTTTTTCAAAAGATATTGGCTTTATATGTTTCCTTTTTAATTACTTTTGGAAATTGCTTGTTAATTGCCTTTCAGCCATTGCAAACCTTTGGATCAGCAAGCTTAACAGCACTGCATGAGTTTTCTTTAATCCTTGACAAAAGAAGTTTTAAATAAAAATTTAAGGACTTTTAAAAAATTATTTTGGAATAAACAGGAAAAGAATGATTAAAAGTTTCATTTTAGGATGTTAGAAATGGACTAAAGGTCCAGATGGATTTGAAATAATACTTTGGAATTAATTATGCGAATCCTTCCTATAGGAAAATGCCTTTATTTAGAATTCTTTAAAAAAAAACCCAATATGATGAGACTTGGTTGGACACTGGAGGGAACTAAACATAATTAAAAGAGAAGAATGCTTAAATTTGACTTACAAATGCAAAATACAGAAAAATATTTTAACAGTGGATATATTAAAGGATATTTTTGAACAATGGACCCAGAAGTTAATTTTAAGAATGTGGTTCTGTAGATAGACTGTGTTTAAAAGATGTTATGGAGTAGGAACAGGTTTTACTGGACAATCAGAAAGTGGATTTTAAAATGGCAGGCTACAAAAATATCATGGAAAAAGATGCTACACTAGACATATAAATGAAACCGGATGATACCTTAGTAATTAAAAGAGATAAACAAATAATAAATCAAAAGAGTAACTTAAATAATTTTCTTACATTGGATTTATAAAAGAGACTTCTTTAGAAAAGAGACTTAGTAAAGGTTTGAAAAATTGTGTGAGACAAAAAGAGAAAAGAAATCAAGTTCTAGGACATTATTTGAAGGATTAATGATCAAGATTGCTAAAAGGAAGGAATATAAAACAGATCTTTTTGATCATGTTTAAAATAGATATGTTATTATCTTTATCTACCTCCAGTGGACTTTTGCTGCTAAGGATCAAATGGCAGATGAGAAGAAGAGAACATTTGTTATATTTTAAGAAAAGGTGATAAGTTGCTAAAATTGTTGATAATTTTTGTGATGAAAAGTTATTTCTTTATCATTTTCTTTTTCTTTACTATATTCCTATTTTTAATTTTTATTTTTTCTACTCTTTTTTTTATTCGTTTATTTTTTTTAGTTTGCATTAGTTTTTAGATTTTTAATTGTCATTTAAAAAAAACTACAATAAAAAAAAATACCAATATTCAGAATATCCCCAGCATGGAACAGTTGCACAACACAAGGAAATATAAACAAGCTAGCCTCCACTGGATTTGAAACCTATGCTGTCCCAGACAGCTGATGAAGAGGTGGACCTATTTTTCAACTATGCTACTTCAGACTATAAGTGGGTTGTAATGTGACTCAATGTGCCTTTGTACAATAACTACAAAAGCTTGCACAAAGGAAGCTAGAAATGATGGAGAATTTTCTCTAATTACGTAGAAGACATTTTATTATATGTTTAGTCACTGCGTGCTCATCTGTCATGAAAAATGAACTACTGGAGTTACAGTAGGGAATATCTATCCTTTAATGAATTGTTAAACTAAAGATGTTGAGACTCTGGAAAGAGTGCAGAAAACAGCAACAAAGATGATTAGAGGGCTGGAGGCTAAATCATATGAAGAACAGTTGCAGGAATTGGGTATGTCTAGTGTAGTGAAAAGAAGGACTGGAATGACATAATAGCAGTGTTCCAATATTTGAAGGGCTGCCACAAAGAAATGGGAGTCAACCTATTTTCCAAAGCACCAGAAGGCAAGACAAGAAACAATGGATGGAAACTAATCAAGTAGAGAAGCAACCTAGAATTAAGGAGAAATTTCCTAACAATGAGAACAATTAACCAGTGAAGCAGCTTGCTTTCAGAAGTTGAAGGCACTCCATCGCTGGAGGCTTTTAAGAAGAGACTGGACAGCCAGTCTCTTGTTTGAGCAGGAGGTTGGACTAGAAGACCTCAAAGATCCCTTCCAACTCTGTTATTCTGTTATTCTGATGAACCACTACTTGGTAGACAAAAGTATCTCTTTAAGATGACACAAGTGGCTGATATGATACCTGTCCTAGTGCAAACCTATTTAAAATCTCAAACTATAATTTCATAATTTTTTAAGTTAACCAACAATTATTTGACTCCTCCTTGGAGAACTGAAGCATAATCCCTCCTCTCCCAAAGCTGGTTAATTCCATCCATACTTTTGGGAAATCAAATGCATTGCAAACTCTGAGCAAGTCTCGTTGTTTTTTTATAAACTGAATTTTGGTGGTGGAAGAAATGTTGAAATGGGATATGCAGAGTTCGAAGTCCAGAGTGTCTGGAATCCAACCTTTGATGACAATACAAGAATATCCTGACTATTGCTTAGCTCCATGTGTAAAATCACATAGTTTCTTACACTTCTTTATCAAAAGGAATGGATGGCTGAAAAGCACATGACGATTCATGCCACTTTACCTTCACTGAAAAAAACAAGCTAGGATACATGCATTTTGAGAATTTTAGTACCTCTATAGTTAGCAATGCTAACCAGAGGTTTGAATGCATATGCAGATAGAGAAATACAGCTCAGAAGAATGTTGCATGAACATTCTCTAATTGTCCATGGACAATTCCTAAACACCTCTCTTCTAAAACCTTTAGTTCTTTTGACCAGGAAATAGTGTTATTATTACTAGTTCACACCCACAGTAATTTCCTATTAAAAATATTTAGAGTTCTAGACTAAAAAAATCTGAAGCTGTACTTTAGCTGGCAAATTATACATCCATGTGGAAAAACAGTTGTTTGTTAAGCAGATTTTCTCTTTTTCAATGTTATGTCCCTAAAATAAGTCCATCCCCAAATTCAGACATCTGTATTTTTCTTACAAAACACTGATGTTAGCGCTGCTTTATGAATAAGCAAGTAGGACTCTTTAGTTCGATTTGGGAAATTCAGACATACTTCTAGCTTTTAACATTAGAGACTTCTATTATATTACTGTAAGTCAGGATGATCAAGGCATCTTTTGTGGTGATCAGTAACCCAAAGTGACTTTTTACCTTTTTTTTTAAATCTCATACTGGCAGTAGAACAAACCATTTGATTCAGGCATATCCATGTTTCCCTATCAAAAACATTCAGAGACATAGCCATCAAACAGAAGAGGTTTCCTGATGCAGGTAGTCCTCAATTTACAACCAGAATTGAGCCCAAAATTTCTGTTGCTAAGCGAGACAGTTATTACATGAGTTTTGCTCCATTTACAAACTTTCTTGCCACAGTTGTTAAGTGAATCACAGCAGTGGTTAAGTTAGTAATGTGGTTGTTAAGTGAATCTGGCCTTTGTGAGTCTGACTTTGCTCATCAGACTCTGGGACACTGCAACTGTCATAAATACATGCCAGTTGCCAAGCATTCAAATTTTGATTATGTAATCATGGGGATGCTACAACTGCAAGTGTGAAACATTGTCATAAATCACTTTGTTTGGTCTTTAAATGAAAAGTTATAAGTCAAGGACTACTTGTATATTCTTCCTCCCCCCCCCACCCCAATGATCAGGATTCTTCCCTTTTACCCCATACATTCTTTCCCACACAATACAATCTGATTAATTCTCTCCTATATTCTGAGGAGTTAATGTGGGGATCCTACATCTGCTGCTCTTTAGGCCTGTTCGATTCTTTATACTTGATTTGTGAACAGAATTAACAGGCTGTCAGTTCTGAAAATCTTCCCTTGAGATACAGGATCAGCTTTTGAATTTGCTACTTTTATGTCTTAACAGAGGGAAGTTTGCCTGAGGCAGTGACAGTAAGCACATCTGTGACTGTGACTATTGGTGGGAAGACAGGAATTGCTGCAGGTAGGACTTCTTTCAATGCACTTGAAGTTGGGGATAACATTGGGGAGAGCCTCTACTTGTTTTTGTTTGTTTGTCTGAATGTGAATAGTGTCTTCTGGAAATTGGCAGGTCCATCACTTCAATGGGCAAAACATGGGATTATTATATCAGGCAACCACTAGATGGCAGCAAAGAGAGATAGAAAATGCTTTCCTGCCATCTAGTGGTCAACTGCAGCATGTTGTGGAAGTCCTAACAAAAATTTCCAACATTTATAGGACAAATCCTTGCTGGTAATACTAGGCCTAAGATTTATGTCTTGTGTATCATTGCAATATCCTTTTTGTGCTCAGCAAATATCACTTCTGTGCTTTGCAACTTTTTCATAACTTCATAAAAATAAACACACAGAAAGCAAAAGCACTTCACTTAACTTTCATCCAAGAGCAGAGTTTCCCAGGGGCTCAAATGACAATATGGAATAGCCCACATAGAAATGCTGGGATGCTGCTCTGCATAATAACTGCATCGATGTTTATTTTTGCAGTAGCTATTTCCATTCACCCATGTAAAAACTGAAACTTAACAAACGTTTATTGTATTTTTTGTATACCCCCTTTGATATTTATGAATCAGTGAACTGGCATGAATATTGTTGAAAGAGATAATGTATGTGTTTTGAGAGCCTCATTCATGCCCTTTAAAATGGTTTTATTATAGTTTTATTTTATTGGGGGAAAGGTAGCTGATAATTAGGACTTCCTAATAAAACCAAGCCATACCACAGCTCAGAAGATAGCAACAATAGAAAAGCAGATGATGTGGAAGGACTGAAGGAAGAGGATTAAAAAGAGATTAAATGGAAAAACCATGAAACTTCAGAAGTATCACCCTCTCTCTCCTCCCAAAAATACCCCTAGAAGATACATGCTCAGTCATGGGGAAGGTGATATCAATTTATAGCATCCAAACAGAAACATTCATATCAAGCTTGCTACCCATGCAGCCTTAGATGAATTTCTTTGTAAAATCTAAAGCAGCTAGATGAGAGAAGAAAGAAGGCAAGGAGTGAGGACAAGTCTTTGTAGAATCTTGCCTCTTTGCTATGAGTTGGAATAGGCAAAACATGAATGATCTCCATTATCTAGAACCTGGGCAAGTCGGAATAGGCAAGAATTGATTGCTATTCTGAGTAGATTTCATTCATTCATTCATTCATCTCAAATTGTATGGCTACTCAACTTGCCACAGTGATTCTGAGTAGCTGGCAACTTATCAAACAATTAAAACAAACAAATATAGGCCACAATATATTCAATCTCAGATCTATCACACACACACACACACACACACACACACACAGAGAGAGAGAGAGAGAGAGAGAGAGAGAGAGAGAGAGAGAGAGAGAGAGAGATTAGGTCCCTTCCTTAAATTTGGTTTCCAGCAGTACCAAGAAGTGTGCCTTCTCAAAGCTTTCCCTAACCCAGGGGTCTTCAAACCTGGCCCTTTTATGACTTGTGGACTTCAATTTCCCAGCCAGAAAGCAGGGATTCTGGGAGCTGAAGCCCACACTTTTTAAATTTGCCAGGTTTGAAAAACATGGATACAACAAGACTGGAGCCCATCAAGGTAATATGTGGATATGTGGGAAAGGGCTGTCCTGGGATGCCATGAGTTTTTATTTTCTTGAGTTCTTATTCTATTTTGTCTGGGAATTGTTGCTGTTCTGTTCTGCTTGGGAAGTTTTGCTGTTTTTACTGTTTTGCAAGTCACCCAGGTTTATGATTGCAATATAAACTTACTGTCTTTTAAAATAAATAAAGAATACCTAAATGTCTGCTAATGGCAACATCCACAGCAACAAAAACCACAATATCTCATGGACACAAACTAATCTGCCAATCTCACAACCAGGAGTACATCCAAGTCTTTTAGTTTTCTCTGTTGATATTCTGGATTCCTCTCAATAATGTAATTCCTATAATGTAAATTTGAGTATTTATTATTTGAGTTAATTATAGTATTTTTTGAGTAAATTATAGCATTTTCCAGCTGAAATCACCTTGGAAGAGTACTGTCTTTATAATAGCCTACATTTTCAAGTGAATTTAGAAAGTCCATTCAATACTGTAATCTTCCTAACAGCTTTTGATTCCCCAAGTGAACATTAACTGAAACATAATTATTACTTATTACTTAATTAAAACTTTATCTCCAGACGTGTGTCTGTGTGAGAGAGAGGGAGGGGGGTATCACTCTGCTCCAGATAACGTGACTGAATGTTCTATCATGTGAATCATTAAACTGAGCTTCTGTATTGGTAAATAGGTTGAACTGACATTGCAGCTGCTGAGAGTTTTAAGGTCCCAGTGAAACCACTAGAATCTGTATCTCCTTGACATGGGTATATGAAGCATATATGATGTCATTTGAGTACTGTGGTTTGCAAAAGAATCTTTGCTTGCTAATTTCAAGCATGGACAGACCAGTGTGTTTACATGTTCATGCATGTTTACATGTCTACAAGCATACATGGATGTATACTTGTTTTAAAGTATGCTACAGGTTCCTCCTGGAATCCTGCTGTAATCTGGATCCAAACCTCTCCTCCCAGCACAAAGGATTTCTAGAGTTCAAGACACTGTTTTGCTGATCCCACATCACCAAGGGATCTTGATTTGCTTGCTTAGTAAATTAAAAACAACCGTAGAATGAATGACTGCATAAATAAAGCCTCCTTAAATGAAATCTAGCCACTGTCCCAAGCTGTCCTGGTCATTGCTGTTTTAGGTCAAATGGATTTCAAAATTTGGTGGGACAAGCCTTACTGAAGTGTTTCCATTTTGTAATTTCTTTTCAAAAAATAATTACTGTGAATTGCTGTGGGGGTTTTGCAGTGAGAAGCTGTGGGATTTCCACAGATGGGGGTAAGAGCAGAGAAATTCCTGCTCCTGGCTGTAACAGCTTGTAGCAACTATTCCTTGCTTTGACTTCTGTGTTGGTCTATAGGGAGCCATTAACAGTGACATAGCAGCATGGGGTGAAACCGTTAGCTGTCAGTTGCTGTGTGATGATACAGCTGAATTTCAGGAGGGCACAGATGTCATACAGGCTTAGCCTTGGACCACTCCTGCATTGGGTGAGGATGGGGGATGAGGAGTTCTTTGGAAATAGGTTAACTGTTGGGAATGAGTCTTATCAGTGCGAAGAAAATGAATCAGAAATAATTAGAAATCTTGCTTGCAGCCTTTCTTCCTACTATCAAACAATATTCTGCTTATTCGTTTTTATATATTTTGTATGACATTTTGACCAGAAAGGAGACTCATCTACAGAAGGTTATTTAGCACCCAGAGATTTTTGACCTATCTCTTCGCTCCCAAATTATTTGTTATCGTTTTAATTCTAAGCAGAATCAGAGTAGAGAAGGAGGTTGCCATGGCAACTGTTTCCTTAAGCCTTTGGTCTGACTCATTTCAGACAATTACTCTCATGCTCCAGGATGCATAGATGCGATAGAGGAGAAATGTGTGCTGGGCTTTATTTCCTTTTCTTCTTATCCCAGGTATTAACTTCCAAATAGTCATGGAAACATTCCTCCAACGTCATAGTTTTGGGGCTGCTGGTACATTGAGACTATGTCTGGTCATGAGTAATACTCATATGAAACTGTGTAATATGTCCTGATTATATACAAAGTCTGCTTCCTATGTTTCCATGATATATATACACAAATGTAAAAATGTGTAAAGATTCTGCAAACAGTAAAAGATTTTCTAAGTTCCTAATTTAGCCTGACATGATTGAATGTGTAAAAATAACGTCAGGGGTGTAAAGAAATTTATACATAAATATAAGAACATAAGAAAAAAGCAGTGGGGTGTAGTGTTAAATTGTTAGATTAGGACTGGCAAAACGTATGTTCAAATTCACCTCAGACACAGAAACTCTCCAGGTGACTATTGTCTGGTCATTAATACTCAGTCCAGTTTCTCTCACAGACACGTTTTGGTGGGGGTAAGATAAACATGGATCCTCATGGAAGATGCCTTGGTTTGATTAAAGGATGGGATATACATCTAATGTTAAAGACACTGAGCTTGTCAGTTGGAAAGCTGACAGCCCAAGTTCGAAACCCAAGTGCCGCACAATGGGGTGAGCTCCCATTCCTGCCACAGGAAAAGCATGCAAATGCAAGTAGCTTAATAAGTACCACTTTGGTGGGAAGGTAACAGCGTTCTGTGTGCCTTTTGCGTACAGCCATGCTGGCCACATGGCCACAGAAAATGTCCTTGGACAATGTTGGCTTCCTTAGCTAAGAAACAGAGATAAGCACTGCACCCTAGAGTCGGACATCGAATGCTTTACCTTTTATACATCCAATAAAGTAAAATCATGCCTTTTGGATCAGACAAGGGATCCACCTGATGACTAGATTCAAGTCTATGAACTAATGTTTGCATAGTGGTTAAGCAGATTTCTGTGGAGCATTTGCCACCAAGACATTAGCCAGTCTTCCCCAAACTAGCAACTTTCAGTTGTAATGAGTCTATCCTAAATGACTGGGTATTCTGGGAATTGTAATCCCAACTCATCGGTAGACCAAGTCTTGCTGAAGTCACTCCCTTTTCCTCTTCAGGAACTAATGTTAGGTGATACATTTTCTCAGAATGCTGAATAACTATTGAGATATCTGACACAATTTTCTTATATTTTACCATAATTTCCAAATATTGTGGTTCCAGACATCATTTGAGAGACATTATTTCTCACCTGTGGTCATCTTAGTCATGATCACTGGGAGATGTAGTTCAGCAACATCTAGAAAGCTACAGATTCCTTATTTTTGATCTCCAATAGTGGCTGACTTCATATATTGTGGCAATAAATTCTGTACTGGTGGGGAAAACATGTTATTGAAATTGAACCTAAGAAGTCATTCTATTATGACTAAATGATTGAATTGTAATATGAGTTTAAAGAAGATTTTGTTGAGGCAAGTAGAAGAATTATTGGAGACTGTCATAGTTTAGAATTTGAGCATCAGAAAGCAGCCCCTATTTTTCATACCAGCCCATGTTCGTCATAGCAAAGCCTGTTGTAATAGGTGAAATATATTATTTCTCCTCTAGCAAATGTCATTGGAGAGAACACTTGCTTGCTGGGAAGTGCTATGCCTGGACACAGATTAGAAAATAATGTGTGGTTTGAAGAAAACAGACACAGTATTCTGAAATATTTTAAATGTTGCATATTTTTACACATGTATTTGAATGTAAAGTGACTTGGCAACAATGATGTGTGGAAGGGGAGACAGTTCAAAGCATGTTGCTGCTTGAGGCAAGGGCAGCTGTCTCATCTACATAAAAATGTATAATGCCAAATATTCACCAAATTACAATGGCATTTAAAGTAGATAAACCTGACAAGCATTTTCTTACCCAACAGTGCAAATAGAGAAAAGGTAGATCAAATGATTAGCTACCCTTCTAGGGCAACAATTATCTTCTAATCAAAACTTTTGCAAGCAGAGATCTTAGAAATTTATTTGGAGCGTGACCCCCTTCTCACCAAATAAGAACAGAAGTAACTCCAAGTAGCAAGTAAGATTGCAAAAAGAGCAAAGAGCTCCAATTTTGGACATTCTGCGGGAAGATGCTAAACTAGCTGTTCTACCTGCTTGCTTCCTTGATGGTGGCAAATGATTGAGTAGTAGAGCATTGACTGTTTTCACCTGATGTCTGCTGAGACTGAATTTGAGAGTCGAGTAAAATGCTGCTCAGCCAGGTTTCCCTGATATAATTCTTCCTGGGTTGCTTGGAATTTATCAAGCTTGTCAATATGCTCAGGGAGCCTTTTCTTGGTCCCTAATCAACTCTACCTGTGTTTTCTTCATATGCTTTATAAGCAGGGGTCCTCAACCTTGGCAACTTTAACAAGTCTTAAAGTTGCTAAGGTTGAGGACCCCTGCTTTATAGCCTTGCTTTACAAAATTAAAGGCTGTCTCAACTAACCCTGCACCCAATTTAGATTCTGCCTAAAAAGCTCTATGGCAGCGGTGTCCAACCTTGGCAATTTCAGGCCTTGTGGACTTCAGCTCCCAGAATTCCTTGGCTGCTGATTGGAGAATTCTGAGAGTTGAAGACCACAAGTCTTAAAGTTGCCAAGGTTGGACACCCCTGCTCTATAGGTTATCTCTCATCTCCATCTGTGGAATGGAGTGGTGCTCTCCTTTTGGAAATGCAGTGAGGTGGGGGGGGGGGTTGGAATCCTTTGCAATAGTTGAAAAATGAGAGATGAGCAGATCAGAGAGAAGAATATCTGAAAGCAGCTGTTTGTAGAAAAGCAAGGGAGGCATTTAATAATAAAAGAAAGAGGGGAGGAGAGACAGACAAATACATGTGCCAAAAGTGAGAAATATGAAATGTGGATTATCCCCATATTATGTGGCCCCCTCGGAGCAGAGAAACAAAGTCAATCTTATTTTTGGTTTATTTTACAGATGCTTTTTTAGCCCTCTTCAGAGAAGAGGTCAGTGCTATTGAAGGTTAATTCAGAAATAGAGAAATGGGTGCCCAGAATAAAATAACTCTCTTGGCACTTGAGAACTATGGATCTATTCATGGTATCTCAAACTGCCTTCATTTTCTTTGCAGCAACTGACGTTGCTGAGACTTATTCAGTGTGTCATTGATCACCATCCTAATTTTTTTTTCACATGTTCCAGGGCTGTAATTATAATTAAATGAGAATACATGAACAACCCTAATATTTAAGTCATTACTTTAAAGTATTCATACTTTGTCTGGAGGTAGAGAAAAACATATAGTGGTTGGGTATACAGAAAGCAAACCTTAAGAAAAGGCTGAAGGAACTTCCATATATTTAGCCTGGAAAAAAAATTTAAGGAGGATCGGACATCACTCCTTAAATACTGGAAGGTTGTCACACAAAGAGGGCAAAATCCTGAATGCAGCATGAAAAATAGAGGTCTAACTTGGTCAGTATGTGTCTTTCCCAAAGGAAGAAGACACCAGTGGGCTGAGCTTGGGCAAAGCTGCAGTGACAGATGTTCTAGATGAAGCACCTGAAAGAGCAGCTGTGCTTTCATTTTGGCTGAAAGGGTCCTCTCTCCAGAGAGCTATGCAGATATATGAATGAGCAATTGGTTAGCTTTTCTGTCAAAGAAATGTTTTGTCCTCTTGGAGCAAATATACAGAATGTGATGGAAAGGCTCCCCAGACTACATCCACTGATAATTATTCCTTTCTACTGATCCACGTGGAAATAAATAATTTGGTCAGGCACAGTCTTGAAGGCACTGCAAGGGGTTTGAGATACTGGGTAGAAGATGGGAACACAGGTCATATTTTGTTCCTTTATTTCTATCAAAAGATTTGTCCCAGAAAGAGAAAAGAATACTGGAAGAAAACAACTGGCTACCAGTTATGATGCTAACAGGAATAGCTTGAATTTTTCTCTAATGGTGTTTCCAAGATGAAGCAAAAGATGAGCTAACCTTCGTGAGAACTGGGTAGACTGTATTTGGAAAGCACCTTGCAAATGTAATCCAAAGGGCTTTGAACTGTATTATATGAAGGATGGAGAAAACAAAACAAAATAGAAAACAATGTAATGCTAAGAGCTGATCTGGGACTAGGAGGAGTGTGCAGAATGTGACGGTACCCAGTAATGAACATATAAATACAAGTTGAAGTAAATCAAGCCATGTGTCTCTGGGGTCCCAGTGTTTCTGTACAATGTATAAAGTGTGCGTGGGGGGAGGGAACAGCAAAAAATAGAAGTCTTAATGCAGGAAGGCAAATATAATTTATCCATCAATACTGAAATCTGGTGGCATAAGACTCACGAGCGAACTGCTAGGATTGAAAGTGCATAATATATTTAACGGAATAAGTTAGACAAGAGGGGAGGAGGAATGACATTATATATGAAGAAAGTGTACATGTATTGCGATCCAAGAATTTGAGTATAAGGAAATAATGGAACAGCTGACTACAGTACATTGTTTACTTCTCCAGGATCATTTACATGCAAGAATCTTGAAAGTGTTTGAAGATATCATTTTAGAGTCCCCTCAGTGAGGAATCATGAAGGACAAGCATAGTGCCAGTGGATTGGAAAAGGGCAAATGGATAGGGTACAGTGGGGTAGAGTAGAGTCAGGTAGGGTGTGGTAGGGTAGGGTATGGTAGGGTAGGGTAATAATTGAATAGAAGAAGGGAAGGGAATATTCTTTATTAGCCAAGTGTAATTGGACAAGCAAGGAATTTATCTCCGGTGCATAAGCTCTCAGTATACATAAGAACAAAAAGTAATATAATCATAATATAGGAAGAAAGATGGGAAAGATAATAGTAATACAGCTCTACTACATGGGTAAATATCCTTAGACATAAGAGTGTGCTGTGGGAATTAGGTGCTCAGCAGAGTGATGGCATGTCTAATTGTTTTGGCATGTAATGTTGTTCCTATTTTCAAAAAGCAAGGAAAGAGGACCTAAGTGACAACTAGCTGGTTAGTTTGACATCAATACTGAACAAAACTTTTAAATAGTTTATTAAGCAATCAATTTCTGAGCAGTAGAAAACAAAACATTTTCTGGTAGAAACTAGAATAGGTTTATCAAGAACAAGATTATTAAGATTCAGGAGGACTCTGATAAGTTGAAATAATAGGCAGAACCCAGCAAGATGAATTTCAATGCAAAATCTTACATTTGAATAGGAAATATCTAAGACATGAGTGTAGAATAAAGGGAACTATTAGGCAATAGCATATGTGAAAAGGATCAAACTGAGTGTTAACCAATGTGTCACAGTTGCAATAAAAAAGCAAATGCAATCCTAATTGCATCAACCGAAGTATCAAAATCAAGAGAACTCATGGTTCCTCTTTACTCTGCGTTGATCAGATCACAGCAGAGTGCATCCAGGTTTAAACACATTTAGAAATGACATTGACAAATTGGAATATCTCCAAAGAAGAACAGCCAAGGTGATAAGAATCTTAGAAGAAAAACAATAAAAGTTGGAGTCATTTGGTAGTTTAGTCTGGAGAAGAGAAGATTCTGGGGAGATACAATAGCTGTTTTCAAGAAATGGAAAGGCTATCATGTAGAAGATGGAACAGAAGTGCTGAGTTGTTCTAGAACAGTGGCCCCCAACCTTTTGGGCACCAGGGACTGGTTCTGTGGAGATAGGTTTTTCTGTGGATTGGAGAGGGTGTGGTTTTGTGTGCTGCCTGCATCCTACAGATGGGGCTTTGCTTGTTTGCATAGCCTGGTTTCTGGCATGCTGCGCCCTGGTGCTGGTCCATGGACCGTGGATTGGGGACCCTTGTTCTAGAAGATATGATGAGAAGCAATGGATTTAAATTACAATGTGGAGACTGTGACCAGGCTCAAGAAATCCAAATGGCAAGACTTGTACAATAACAGAACAGACGGGTGTAAAGGTTTCTCCTTTGCTGGAAGTATTTTAAGATGGGATGGATGGCTACCTGACAGAGTTGCAGCAGTAGTGAATTCCAGCACTGGATGAAGGGTAATCTATATTATTTTTAAGATACCATCCAACTCTCACATTCTATGACTCTTTGGTGTCAGCGAATTCTCTTTTTTTTTAAGCAGAATGTCATGATGTCATATGGCCTAACTGGGCAGGTAGAGATGGGTCCCTTCTGTTGGTGTGTGCTTCTAATACCGCTATATGTCTACCTCTGAGGACAATCATGCATTTCAGACTGCATGCTTCATGACACCACAAGTATATAGTCTTACCGTTTTTGCAAAAATAGGTTCCCTCTTGGTTGTGGCAGCATAGCCTAACCCCTAATAAATGATTGCTTAACCTCAGCTGTAGTCACTTCAATTTATTGTGTATTTTTAGAGATCTATTCATGAAGACATTGAAGAAATCTTTCCTTTTTGTGGCATTTCTGCAGGAAATTTTCAGAGCTCTTAATTCCTTCACCACATAGTAGTGAATTAAAACAAGAGGCATGTTCTGTAGGAAAATACATTCTTTATTTATCTTCTAAAACACAAGCCAGAAATATAATATACGTTCAGCTGTTTTTTTTTCCTTTAAAAATTTATTTTCTTTAAACTTTTAACAGAAAAGAAAAGGATTGTATGTGCCATCTATCTAACAATTCTGCCCTTTCTCCAGGATGTGTGCCATCCTGGATTATTCTGACTTTCTCAAAAGGATCTTTATTTCCCTTGAATTCTCTACTGACATTTCATCCCCAGAAAGCACAATGCATGTTTATGCCACAATTACTAATGTAGTTTGATTGTCCTTTAATATGGCTTCTTAACAACTACCAAGAACCATTTTCTGTTAATGTTGAAAGTATTCTGGCTGCACCTAATAGCCTGGATCATATCTAGGAAGTCTTCACAGGTAATGAAGAAATTTCTATTTAAATTGAGTGCATGCAAGGTTTTTTTTTCATATGTGATACATGTGCATGTATTATTAATTTCCTATTTTTTTACATTTTTAATCATCTTCCAATTTTGATTGGGATTCTTTTAGTTTCATCAGTAGCACTTAGGCATCTTTTTGTTAAACAATTCTACTCATACCAACAAAGAAGCTTCAGTGACACTACTAGAATTAATAGCTGAATAATTAAGTTCCATTAAAATTATTAGGGCTATTTGTCATATTAGAACCTGTAGCAGTAATGCTGCATTCTTTATATCATTTGGGGAAAATACTCTATGGGTTTGCATATTACAAATTCTAACTATTGTATTATATCACTGTATGGAACAATTTCCCTAATGTACATTGCACTGCCATGTATATCTTGTATTATTTTGATCTTATGCATAGGTACTCTGGTTACATGCATACAAAGAAGGGTATATAGGCTTTGCTCTACTTATCCTTCGAGTTCTAGTTCAACAGCAGATCTGAAACTGTTTACATGTGAATTTGGTACAACCTTTTTCTGAATTCTTTGCACTGCATCTAGTCACGCTTCATATTAATAGCAGCAGTACAAGAACAAAGATGTTATAAATTCCTATATTCACAATATAGGCTGTGGATACATAGAATACAGACTGTACAATAGGAAGTTGATGAGACACTGTGTAATGTGGAGGTTCATAGAAGTTTCTGGACATCAGTATAAGAATGCTAAATGTTTTAGTTTATAGACTTTCCAATCATAGCTGAAGGCACAGTTTCCCAATAATATAATGAGGACTCTTCTCAGATAGGATTATTGCATTCTCCATGCCCTAACATTTTAGTACCTCATTGTACTTCCAATGAACTCTAGTGTCTTTGGGATTAACTTGATATCCACCCATCATTTTTTTTTAATCTGTCGTTCATCTATTTCACCTTTTCAAATACAAGCTTCTAAATATAAATCTGGAAATATCAGGGCCAACCCTTCTCCCTATTAGTAAGAAATCAGAACATAGGCTAAGATTTGTAACTGAAATCCCAACATGACAAAAAGAATGCAATAAAGGATAATTTCAAAGGTAAGAATAGGGGTCAGAAAGAAAACAGATTTTTTTTCACTCTTCCTCTTGTAATTTTTATTGCCCAGCTTTTCTTATATCCTAAACATAAATGCAAATATGATTTGTTTGTGCAATCATGTCATCATTATTTCTTACAAATAAAATAGAGATTTTTAAAGATACAGTTCTGGTATGTCCTATTTCAAGTATATTGTGCTGTCTAGTCAATTGCAGAGGATAGGTTCCTTTGGGGAAACTATAGAGACAATAAGGTTGAAGTTGTGTAGCTAGCAGATTCATTGCTAGTTCTGAAATCCTGGGCATAAATGTGGTGGAAGCAATACAGATAAAGTCATTGCTTAGTGTCTTTGATGGTTTAGTTTTGTTCATCAGACTGAAATACAGCAGAAGTGGAGCTTGTTCCTTGGAAGAACTATAGTACCTATATAGTTCATTAGGTGAAAAAAAGTTTTTTCCATTCTTAAAATTTGCCTTTGGCCTTGATGTTGGCTTTTTGCACATTATGTCAGATGCCAGAGCCAAATCCTCCAGGAAACGTTCCATGTGAAATTTTTTTTTCTACCACCCGTGTCATCCTTACATGAAAATGATTCTCTCTTTGAATCCAGTGCTTCTTTGCTAATAGAACAGAAATGGCTTTTCTACTCCCACGTTGGAATCTTAGGTTTATCCCAGTGTGACTGCTGCTGACAGATGACGGGGGTGATTTGTTTTATTTTTTTTAAAGTGAGAATTCTTCCATTCACAAACAAAAGCTGCTGCCAAAGGCATCCCATAACAAAACAAGGAAGAACGAAGATGGCCTGTTCCTTGCCCAGCTAGGTTCTGCTTCTCAATTGCAGGAGATAAACCTCAGAATCTGGGCCACCTGTGAAGCTACTTTATGACTGCAAGGATCACAATATCCACAAAAACTGTGGCTGCACCGACCTCTTGTGTCATCTTCTTATCCCAGGAATACCCGCTGTGACGGGCTAGAGCAGGTTACCATGGCAATGTGTGCTTTCCTCTGGAGACTGCACTTTATCCCACTTTCAGTAATATAAAATGAGTCCTTAGGCTGGTTTTCTCTCCCTGCTGCCACCAGTTTAAAGAAAAATAAGGCTAATGTGATGCAATGTTTGCTTGAGAAAAATACCTAAGATGAGAATTCATATGTTCAGTATGTGCATGTACACGGGAGTGTGTACATGTATGCTTCAGGGTGTTGTCTGAGTGCCTGAATATAATTTATGCAAAATCTGCTCAGAATCTTATTTGTACTATCCATATATTTTCACAAGAAATCCCATGAGGATTCTTAGTATGTTGTATACCTAGATGCAAGTGACCACAGTTAGAGAGTGTTAGCATGAAGGGGCCACACATATTCAGAATTGCATCCTTTCTATCACATTTTCAACTTGGTCTTTGATCAACCAGATGAGGCTCAGAGCCTTTCTTAAAGATTGATCTTTTAATAGGAGTGACGTGATCCATTCTTCTGCAGATGCTTTTCATTGTTCTTCATTGTAGCTATCAGAAAAAAAATCTGAATGAGGAGATAGGAGACATATTTTTTTAACTCTCCACAATTACATACTGATGATATGCAAAGAAAGATGTGGATAGAAGTGTGGATAAGTTTATAGGCAATAAGCATATGTTAATATACATATGTTAATAAGCATATGTTATGTTGATTATGATACATCTAAATATTCATTATTTCTAGTGTTAAGAGAGGAAGATTATATTTCCACTGACTATGGTGGATTCAATTACTGTTCAGGCCTATGAGCCTGGAGTGTTTGTGAACTAAATATCTTTAGCACAGCTAAAATGAATAAATAGTTGTACAATAACATGAGTGATGCCACAGGGGGAGTTTAGAGTGTTAACAAATATTTTTGAGTGCCAAAGACTCTGTGAGGCAATGAATATTTGCAAAAAAATAAAAATAAAAAAGCTGGGAAATCAAACAAAGATGCTTGTTTGGCTGACTTTCCCAAGATGTGACCATTAATGGGAAATCTGGTGCAAAGAAAAGACATCTTTTATTCACCTGGAGTTCCATGAGAACAAAGGAAAGTGAACATGAACCCAGGGCCAGGTGTCCTGAACCCATAAACACATTTTACTAATTGGACCAATGGGATAATTGCACAGTCCATCTGCTCACCTGGGAGGAAGTATTCTTAAGTCTTGGCTGTATCCTATTCTGCTTCAAATTTCCAAGAAGATTCACGCCACAGAGGAGATCTGTTTTTGTTCCTCGTGTTCTCCCTCTGTATCACCCATTAATGGCTGCCTCTTCTTCAGCTCCCGATGATACTTAGCCATGAGAGATGCATAGATACAGCCATAGGCTGCCGCCACCACCATCATGATACACACAATGCCACAAACTACCCCAGCAATGATGACTGTGCCAATGGCTCGACGCACACTGATGGGTCGTGGCTTTTGCTTCTGGGGACAACCCACGCTGGGCTCCTCTTCTGTTTCAGGACTTGTTTTGGGTTTGGGAGCAGTTTGACTTCCCTTAGTGCAAGGCGGACCAATATTGTCCAGCACAGTAGAGCTGTTCTCATCCTCCAGCTGGGAACAGTAGTTAAACATCTCCATGGGTACCAAGCGCATATCCTTCCCCCGCAGCTCCTTAGGCAAAGTACATGCCAGTTGGTCTATCTTTCCTCCTATCCCATAAGAAAGAGAGAGAGAGAGAAAAAAAGCTTAGTTCCCTATCCTCATGTGAGACCGTACTGTGGTCTCAGTATAATAATGCATTTCAGTGGAGCTGTTGTGGCTGAATTCTTCAGTATTGGAGTGGCCCACTGTTGTTTACCTAAATAGTAGCTATATTAGCATATCAAGAAAGTCAGGATTGCAAAACAAATTATTAAAGCAAAAAGCTTTTTGGAAACCTTGCACTTTAAGCTGGGTTTTCCCTCATGTTCAAAGTGTGTAAAAATAAACATAAATAACCAAAACTTCCAAAAATGATTAAAAGGTAAATAAATAGCAAGAAACATAATGCTTCAGCAGCAGCAGCCACAAACATTCTAGAACAACACGAAAAAGCTTTAAAAGAGAGTGGCCAATTACTTAAACATCAAGCAGGTGCTGGGTAAACATTGATTAAGAATGTTAAATTCTGATTGTACTATGACCAGGCAGATGAAGTAGATGGGTGAAGTGACTCTCTCCAACTTTTGATTCAAAAAATCAAGATGTGAGCTGTCACAATGCTAATTGGACTTTATTAGGAGGACTATCAATGACAACATTATCACAATTAAAATGACAGTGTCTTTGTCCACTCAAGAATTCCAGATCTAAGTGTATATATAGTTAGAAATGGATTTTGAGCACCTATAAAAGTTAAGGCCAGTCTATAAATGAATTGGCAACCAATGGACAATAATCATTAGAAACATCTAACTTTCTACAATACAATGTGAGGAATTTACTACATAAATTTGTATCAGTGATGATTCTGGTAAAACATACTTTCAAGGTGGACTCAGAAGATTTGAATACTAATTATTAATATCAGTTTTTAAAAAGGAAGCCAGTAAACAGCATGTATCAAAAAGAATACTTGGCAGTACCATTAACAAATGCTTAATATTTCCCACCAGAAATATTAGTAATATTCTCAATATTCTCTAATCTAGTGAATAATTATGGACCACCCAGTTATACACTGTTGATCAATTTTAAAGATGGGAGAATCTAAATGCTTAAGGGTAACCAGTGTCAGTTCCTACTGAAGCCATGACTCTCTATTAAACAATGCAAGATTAAGTTTCATTACAAGCCTCTTGCATACAAGTGGTAAAACTAAATTGTTGTCTTTGAAGCTCAAATGTTGAGCTTTATCCCAGCTTTGGTTTGTGTTCAGTTCTTCTGCATTTGCAACAGTGTGTTTAGAATCTCCAGAATGATTGAAATGGATTGGATACCTTCCCCATCTTGATCCATTGAAAATAAACTCACTTCCAGGAAGCTGAATGACTTTGGCTAAGCAAATATCTCTGCCTAATCAAACTACAAAACACTACAGTATCATTAATGAAGTCAAATTATGCACTGTGACTATCCTCCTAGCCCAAGATCTGAAGTTTGCATATCTGACTAATTTTTCTTTCTGGTAATCCATAGTAAACTAGCAAAAAAATAACCCTCAGTTTAGACCAATCTTTAATGTACCTACCTCGATAAGAGAACCATTCCATCCAATATTTAAAATCTCTCAAATTACAGTCACATTCCCATGGATTATCTCCCACATGTAACTGCTGTAGGCTGATTAATGGCTCAAAAGTTACCCTGTCCAAATTCTGCAGACGGTTTGATCGGAGAGAAAGCCATCGAAGAGAAGGCAAATCATCAAACATTCCTGAGGGAATTTGAGCAAGTCCATTAATGGAGAGATCCAACTGATGCAAAAGAACAGTGTTCTGCAGAAGATCTTTGTCCAAACTTCTGATGCTATTATTCCTCAGCTGTAGTTCAGTAAGATTAACTAGGTCTCTGAAAACATTCTCAGGAAGTTGATCTAAGAAATTGTTGGAAAGATCCAGTCTCTGAAGAGCAGAAAGATTGGAAAAAGCTTGTTCTGACAAGGTGCTGAGTTGATTGTTAAGGAAAAGGAAGGTCCTGGTACTAGTAGGAATGTCCAAGGGAATGGATGAAAGGCCTAAACCACTACAGTCCACTTCCAAGGTACCACTGTTGCACTTACAAGAAGAGGGACATGTGATGAAGCTCTCTGCTGCACAAAACGAAAGCCAACAGGCAAACACTGCACAAGAGAAGAGGAAAACCAAGCACAATATATTGAGGCATCTTCCATGACTGCATGTAACCACAGTTTCACCTATTAATGCTACCTTATCTTGCAACCAGATGCACAAGTGTCTCCATTACAGTAGAATTCCATCTACTAACCTAGAGCAGGGGTAGGCAACCTTGGCTCTTTTATGACTCATGGACTTCAACTCCCAGAATTCCTGAGCTGGCTGGAGTTGAAGTCCATGAGTCATAAAAGAGCCAAGGTTGCCTACCCCTGACCTAGAGGATGACTTTTAATACTCTTGATTCAAAGAGTTCTAGAACCAGTTGCATTGTGTTCTAGGGTAGTTTCTTGTTCGCCTTCATACCTCCTTTCTTCTCTCTTTCTCTTTGAAAGGAGCATTAAGAGTTGAATGGTAGCCAAATGAGCTTTTTCACAGATTAATCCTTGTGCAGCCAGATGGATTCCCACAGTGTGAGCTTCCTTTTAGCTTTTGATGAGCTACTGGTGCTAAAGAATAAACATCCTCACAATGTGAAAAAGAAAGGTCATACATCCCCAGAGATTTTTCTGCTTGATACCAGTGTCTAGCATCCTAAACACCATGGAATTAAGCATGAGTCGAAGATAATCCAGAGCTATAAAAGAGAACTTGCTAGACCATTAGTGTTTATAAATAATATATTTGCTTATATTTAATTAGATATTATCTTAAGATAATTTAGAACATAAATTATCCATTCAATGGGTTGTTATTTTTTCAATGGGATTTATTATACCTTTGATTGACTACAACAGTTGTTTTATTTACTATCTTTTGTTTAACTCATCTAAATTCAATGTGCCCAAACAGCCCTCAGAACTTACAAATTACAAAAGTATATCATGAATAAGCAAATAAGCAAATGTTAAAACATTATACAAGCACCCAAGATATTAAGCATGACATCATTTGCCGCAGGTGAAATACAGTAGTGCTGTATTCTAAAAGTGTAACCAACCAACAAATAAAGGCCTCACATCAGCTTCCCATAATTAAATGGCAAAATGCAAGAAAAAAAAAACATTCTATCTATCTGGTCTTACTTACAAGAAAAGTGAATTAAATGCACCAGAAACTACTACTTTTTTTTTAAAGATATCAATTTTGATTTAGATTAAATCTAGAATCAGTTAATATGGAACTGAACATTAATACATAATTCATTGCTAGGATTCTATAGTAAATTCAGCCCAAAACTACCTGGTGCTCCTATACCAGTATCATAAGAAAATTAGGGTTTAATCTGTCAGATCAAAATTAGAAAAGGCTACGGAGCAGTCTTCTTAATTATCTTCCTGCTTATTGTAGAGGTCACAAGCAGCAGTAGAAATATTTTGATGCATTCTGTATGTTGGCACCATAGTTGATACTATTTGATTAGAGAATTTAATTCCTCTTAGAACATCTCATTCTAATGTAGGCTTATGCCTGATAGACCAAGAAGGAAGGAAAAGTGACATGTGTTATTAAAATCATCTTGCTTTTGGATGCCTGACAGAGGTACCATATTAATAATACAGTGATATTTCTGATGACGGGAGAACATTTAATGCTTTTGTGTACAGAGAAAGGTGGGAATATATCACGGAAATGCATTACTCTTCTCTGCACATTTAATCAAATGCCCCTCTTTCTGTTAGACTGTGACAGAACTCTTTTGAAATACCATTATTCAAAATGATGCAATGGTGCTACTTCTAAACAACTGAAAATTTCAGCTTAAGAATTAGATATACACCAAAACTGTCCTGGTGAAAGAGATAGCCAAGAGAAAGAAAAGACTTCAATTACTTATGTTGCTGAGGAAACAGAAGTGCCAAGAAAAACATGAGTAAGGCATGTGGTTGTTTGCAAAGGACAGAAGGTACATGTATCAAGATCTCAAAAGACATTTTTTTTATGGATGTTCGGCAGAGCAGCTAGATAGTTTTTCATCCCATGAAAGCCAGCAAGAGTTACGGAACAATAGTTTAAGAAAAACAGTCAAGCATAGTGTATGCTCTTATGTCAAGAAAAGATCATGTTACTTTGTAGGATGTTCAGGACTCTAGTAAGATGATCCAGAAGCATTAGATTAGACTAGAGCTCAGTAGCATTTAGGGTAAATAATTTATAATAGCAATCTAGGAAGCAAGGGTGTTTAACAAAGGTAGGTGAAAAGAAACCATTTTCTCAGCAACTTTTATTGACATATTGCACTTGACCCCCAGTTATAGGTTTGGGTGACCCCCTGCTTAGCTTAACTGCATGCATCCTCATTAATGAACCCTTTTCATAGCATGCTATAGAGACGGATAGTTCACTGAAGTTTATTAAGCTATTTCTGCATTGGACACAAAGTATTTTCAGATTTGGACTCTTTATCCTTTTAACTACAGCAGTGTTTCCCAAACTTGACAATTTTAAGGCATGTGGACTCCAAATCCCAGAATTCCACAGCCAGCATTGAAGTCCTTAAAATTGTCAAGTTTGGGAAACACTGAACTACAGCATAGAAATGGCCATTTTTAAAGGACACTTTGGCCTCATCCTCAACCTGCTAGAGAGACATTAAATTTATGTTTAGCTGTTCCAGTTTTAAAATGCAGTTTTCCTTGTTCTTCCAACACAATTTTGAGTGAGGTCGCCATCTGCAATTCTTCACTGACTATGTAGTTGATTATATAGTCAGGAACTGGGATCTACCCCGCTTCCAATAGATACTTGAAACCTCCCTAGATCCTCTATCCTCCATATTTTAGTATAGCATATAGGATCCTGAACCATTTATTTAAATGCTCTTAACTTAACTTTTTCATGGACAAGCACCATTTTGAAAGAGTGCTAAGTGTGTTTTCTTAAACATGGCTTTCAAGTTTAGAGCACTAGGGTGGCAGGGAGCTCTGTCAGTGCACTCCCACCCATTTCAGCTTATGCCCCTCAGCAAGCAATTGATCTATCAGCTAGGTTGGTTGTTTAGTCATGGCTTTGGCATTCTTCCAAAAGATTACCAAGCTGTTGTTTAAATAGGATCTTGGAATCCTAGTGGACAATCACCTAAATATGAGCCAGCAGTGTGCTGCAGCTGCCAAAAAAGCCAACACAGTGCTGGGCTGCATTAACAGAGGGACAGAATCAAGATCATGTGAAGTGTTAATACCACTTTACAATGCCTTGGTATGGCCACACTTGGAATACTGCATCCAGTTTTGGTCACCGCGATGTAAAAAAGATGTTGAGACTCTAGAAAGAGTACAGAGAAGTGCAACAAAGATGATTAGGGGACTGGAGGCTAAAACATATAAGGAACAGTTGCTGGAATTGGGTATGTCTGGTCCACAGGTCGGTAACCTGCGGCTCCGGAGCCGCATGCGGCTCTTTGCGCCTTCCCCTGTGGCTCCCAGCCTCCTCTGCCTTTGCAGAGAGAGACAGAGACAGAGAGAGGCAATTGCGCTTCTCTCTCTCTCTCTTTCTCTCTCTCTCTCTCTCTCTCTCTCTCTCTCTCTCTCTCTAAAAGAGACGAGGTTGCTTGTTGGACAACAGCTTGAAGCTTGCCAGGTGAGCAGCAGATAGGAGGGGGGGGAGAAAGAGAGAGGGAGGGAGAGAGAGAGAGGGAGGGAGAGAGAGAGGGGAAAGAGAGAGAGAGAAAGAAAGAGAGCGGGGGAAGAGGAGTGGCAAACCAAGGGCAGATAGAGAGGGAGGGAGAGAGAGACAGAGAGAGAGAGAGACCCTTTTGACATCTAAAATGAAGATAACACTGCATATATCCTTTTTTTACCTGTGTGTGTGTGTGTGTGTGTGTGTGTATACACATACATACATATATACATATACATATATATATATATACACACACACATACATACACACACAAACACACACACACACAAACACACACACACCTATAATAAAGGTAAAAAAGGATATATGCAGTGTTATCTTCATTTTAGATATCAAAAGGGTTTTGCGGCTCCCAGTGTTTTGTTTTTGGTGGGAAACGGGTCCAAGTGGCTCTTTAAGTGTTTTGGGTTGCCTACCCCTGGTCTAGTCTAATAAAGAGAAGGGTGAGGGGTGACATGATAGCAGTGTTCCAATATCTCAGGGGCTGCCACAAAGAGAGAGTCAAGCTATTCTCCAAAACACCTGAAGGCAGGAGAAGAAGCAATGGATGGAAACTAACCAAAGAGAGAAGCAACCTAGAACTAAGGAGAAATTTCTTGACAATTAGAACACTTAATCAGTGGAACAACCTGCCTCCAGAAGCTGTGAATGCTCCAACACTGGAAGTTTTTAAGAAGAGACTGGACAGCCATTTGTCTGAAATGGAATAGGGCAGTGGTTCTCAACCTTTCTAATGCCGTGACCCCATAATACAGTTCCCCATGTTGTGGTGACCTCCAAGTGGGTGTGGCCACCAATAAGAGGGAGTAGGACAGCTAGGGAAAAGGGAAAAAAATGGCGGACAGCGTGGTTTGGTGACCCCCGTGAAATGGTCATTCGACCCCAAATTGGTTCCCGACCCACAGGTTGAGAACCACTGGTCTAGGGCTTCCTGCCTGAGCAGGGGGTTGGACTAGATGACCTCCAAGGTCCCTTCCAACTTTATTATTATTATTATTATTATTATTATTATTATTATTATTATTATTAATCATTACACAGTCAGCCAGATGTTCAGACTGGATTTGGCATTTTGTCTACCTATTGAGTCCTTACCCAGGACCTGGAATAGGCAGATGTGGATGTTTGATGGTATTACAGATATCGTCGCAGGATGGAAGCAGTTCCTAGTAAGGCCGCCTTTTGCAAATGACTAATAGCGAATTTGTCAATGCCAATGGTGTTCAAGTGGTGCTCCAGTTGTTTTGGGATTGCACCCAAGGAGCTTATTGCTATTGATACTACCCTTGCTTGCTTTTGCCACAGTCTTTCTATTTCTATTTGTAGGTCTTTGTATTTTGTTATCTTCTCCAGTTCTTTCTCGTCTATTCTGCTGTCTCCAGGCACTGCCACATCCACTATCCAGACTTTTTTGTCTTTCTTATCGACAATTGTTATTATGGATCATCGCACAGTCAGTCAGATGTTCATACTGGATTTGGCATTTTGTCTACCTATCGAGTCCTTACCCAGGACCTGGGATAGGCAGATGTGGATGTTTGATGGTATTACAGATATCGTCGTAGGATGGAAGCAGTTCCTAGTAAGGCTGCCTTTTGCAATTGACTAATAGCGAATTTGTCAATGCCTATGGTGTTCAAGTGGTGCTCCAGTTGTTTTGGGATTGCACCCAAGGAGCCTATTACTATTGATACTACCCTTGCTTGCTTTTGCCACAGTCTTTCTATTTCTATTTATAGGTCTTTGTATTTTGTTATCTTCTCCAGTTCTTTCTCGTCTATTATTATTATTATTATTATTATTATTATAATAATAATAATAATAATAATATACTGGCCTCTTTCAGAAGAGTGCAAGAACCATATTCATAATAACCCAACTGAAAGGCTGAGTGAAATATCTTCTTGTCAGTCATCTATTACTCAAGTTAAACATTGTCCTAGACATCCATCTAACTGTTAACCATTAAGCACACAGAACTAATGGTTGTTTTTGCCACTGACAGGTAATGACAAAGTCTCCTTGCAGTGACATGGGAGGCAAACAAACTTAATAAATAAATAAATAAATAAATAAATAAAACATGAGGAAATCCACCAATTGCTGTCCTAAAACTGCCCATTAAATTTGTTGGAACAGCACCATTTATCAGCCTCTTTGCTAACATCAAGCTTGGCCACAGGGGCAATGCAGTTTATGTCAACCTACGGTGTTGGGGGCAATATACTGACTCTAGAAACCACTTAGAGCAGAGGTCCCCAATCTTTTGGGCATCAGGGACCAGTTCCTTGGAGAGAGGTTTTTCCGTGGACTGGAGGGTGTGTGGTTTTGTGTACTGCCTGCATCCCGTGAATGGGGCTTTGCTTGTTTGTGCAGCCCGGCTGCTGGCATGCTGCAGCCCAGCACTGATCCAGGGACTGGGAGTTGGGGACCCCTTACTTAGAGAGTACTGTAAAGCACTATGAAGCAGTATATAAGTCTAAGTATTACTGCTATACTTTTCTGCTGACACAAGGAGTGGAAGAATGCATGTTAATATCACTTTGAGGAAGATCCCTTAGAGTTGATGTTCTAGCTAGAACTCATCATAAATCAGTGAATAATATAAACTAATTTGGTGGTGACTGTGTTGCAAATAGAAATATAGAATGTTTGAAAATATTTGATTGGACTCACAGCTACTGGCGACTTACTTTTCTTCTTTACTTTATTTTACTTCTTTCTTCAAATCATTTCTCTGAGCACACAAATTATAACATGTCATAAGTGATACCAAGTGTCTTTTTCGTCTTTTGCATTTTTTAAACATGCAAGACAAAAAGCTTTTTTATATATATTACAAGATGCTCACAGTCCTTAGAACTGTACCTATGTGATTTGAATGTCTTGTGAGCAAAGAGGGTACGGCTCTTATGACCACATAGAATTTATGAGATTTGAATGATTGGATATCCATCATTATGATAAAAATGATGCATTTAGCCTTTTCCTGAAACTAGGCATTCTCTTCTATGATAAAAATGTATAGGACTAATGCAAAATATTGACTACTGGTGAAATGGCCCAGTAAATGTTTTAAAAATAACATCATTATGAAAGGTGATAGAACATGTCGGTTGCACTTATTTTGGGTATTAGGAACAAGATGGGAACATTTTCTCTCTTTCTAATTCATTTAGGCAAAAATTCTGCAGCTTCTTTTTCTAAAGTTATATTTTACAGCATGTATGCAAAGTCCCAAAGAATATATAAGGTCTGGATACTGTTCACTGTTACTATAAAACCAGGCTATTTTCCTTTACCTTCATCTAAAAAGTAGTAACTGGTCTCTTTGCAAACATTTACTTACAGCTAGTTTTTCTCCATCTCAGAGAAAGTCTGTTGCTCCACCAGTAGCCACCATTCATAGACAACATAATATTTGCTGTTTTCCCCATGGTGTTTGTGCTTGTCAGAGGAACTGGCACATATACTTGGAGGTCTGAACAGTAATTTGGCTAATCTGGAAGATAAAAGCAGAACAAAAATCATATGATTATCAGGTATCTGGAAGAGAACCTATAGATGGAACCTGACATTCAGAATGACGGCTTTTTTATAGGTACTCACAGAAAATTAGCAGATAAGGAGACATCACTAGAGATCTCTGGACTCCCAGCCAAAGTGCTCAGATGGGTCCCCAGTGATGAGAATGCTCAGGCATTAATACCTCCCCAGGCTATGGCAACTGAGAGCACTAGAGGGAAAAGAAGAAGGAAATCCACCCAGCTGCTTCTTCCCTACTGGCATAGGCAGCACTTAGGAGAAGACAAAGAGAATAACCAACAGAAAACCCTGTAGAAGCCACTAGGACAGTGGTTCTCAACTTTTCTAATGCCGCGACCCCATAATACAGTTCCCCATGTTGTGGTGACCCCCAACCACTTATACATCACCGGGTGCCAGGGGCGTGGCCAAAGAAAAGGGGGAAAAAATGGCGGACAGCCTTGTTTGGCGACCCCCGTGAAATGGTTGTTCGACCCCATGGGGTCCCGACCCACAGGTTGAGAACCACTGCACTAGGACCACAAGGAGACCACATCCACTCCAAGGCCCAGCCTCCTTACAGGTGATGTGATGTCTGAAGTGGAGGCTGGGAGAAGTGACATTGCCATTCCTACAACCTAAGGCAATGATTAACTCAGGGGTGAGGGAAGCAGAACATCTTTTACTTGCTCTCTCCTTCTTTCTGCACCATTCCTCCACTACGTTTCCTATTGACCAAATGTGTTGAAGATATGGAATATGGAATGAAGCAAGGAGGAGCCCAAGATTGTGTGACTATGGGCTGCAAGACAGCCATGTGCTCTATCTCATTATGTTTATGCCCTTGGGCAGATGGTAGAAAGTGCCTTCTAAACGATGCTGTAGTCTTTATTGAATGTAGGCTTTTGACACCAATTATAAGCAATCGTTCTGGGAAATCGGTACCCAGCCAAAGGACAAGGTACCCTTTTGAAGGTACTCCCCCAGTGCTGCTGAAGAAGGAAAGCAAGCTAGGATGAAGTATGAAATGGAGAATATGCTTGTTTGTTTTAGTGCTTTTTAAGAAATAACAGAAAAAGAAGAAAAGCAGCAAAACACGAAGACAATTATAATACATACAAAACTTTGCATACAAAGTGCTTAAAAACATGAAGAAATACAACAGAAGAAAAAAGAAAAGAAACAATATATTACTATACTATATATACTAATTACTATATATTATAGTAATTAACAGTTATGACTCTATATATAGCTATCTAATGTAAATATTTTCTAGTAATCTATGTTAACTTCTAATACATTTATGTAACTATCAGTCTTTTTAACCTACTGTAACTTGTAAAAATGAGTTCCATATTTCATTATATTGTCCACATAAAATCTGTCTACAGGCAATCCACTCATAGGTGGCAAATGTAATCCTTCAGTCCACTGAGTGAATGGGACCATACATTTATCTTTCCAATGTTGCAAAATCAGTCTTTTAGCCATAGTAAAGGCACAGAGAATCAATTTACATTGCCCAGTTGTCAAATTCCATGTATTAGGTATACAGTTCAAGAGAATATTATCCTCTGCAATGTTAGCTTTTGTCACACAATCACATTAAGTGCAGGAGGATGTATTTAAATAACAAACAGGATTAGTGAATTTTATTGCCCAAGGTATTTTTTGCTTTAAAAATAGCTACTTCAGTGAAGTACTGTGGAAATTTTGTAAGCAGGAAGCGTATGATCCTCAAATGTTTTTAATATAATATAAGACAAGATTTGTGAAGAAGAAGAAGAAGAAGAAGAAGAAGAAGAAGAAGAAGAAGAAGAAGAAGAAGAAGAAGAAGAAGAAGAAGAAGAAGAAGAAGAAGAAGAAGAAGAAGAAGAAGAAGAAGAAGAAGAAGAAGAAGAAGAAGAAGTACTCTTCAACATCTTCATCAATGATTTGGATGAAGGGATAGATGGGGAACTCATCAAATTTGCAGACGACACCAAGCTGGCAGGAATAGCCAACACTCCAGAAGACAGGCTTAAGATACAGAAGAATCTGGACAGACTTGAACACTGGGCACTAACTAACAAAATGAAATTCAATGGTGAAAAAAGCAAGGTTCTACATTTAGGCAAGAAAAACCAAATGCACAAGTACAGCATAGGTGGCACCATGCTCAATAGTAGTAACTGTGAGAGGGACCTCGGAGTCCTAGTAGACAATCACTTAAATATGAGCCAGCAGTGTGCTGCAGCTGCCAAAAAGGCCAACACAGTGCTAGGCTGCATTAACAGAGGGATAGAATCAAGATCACGTGAAGTATTAATACCACTCTTCAATGCCTTGGTAAGGCCACACTTGGAATACTGCATCCAGTTTTGGTCACCACGATGTAAAAAAGATGTTGAGACTCTAGAAAGAGTACAGAGAAGAGCAACAAAGATGATTAGGGGACTGGAGGCTAAAACATATAAGGAACGGTTGCTAGAATTGGGTATGTCTAGTTTAACGAAGAGAAGGACAAGGGGGGACATGATAGCAGTATTCCAATATCTCAGGGGCTGCCATAAAGAAGAGGGAATTAAGCTATTTTCCAAAGCACCTGAAGGCAGGACAAGAAGCAACGGGTGGAAACTAATCAAGGAGAGAAGCAACCTAGAACTAAGGAGAAACTTCCTGACAGTGAGAACAATTAACCAGTGGAACACCTGCCTCCAGAAGCGGTGAATGCTCCAACACTGGAAGTTTTTAAGAAGAGACTGGACAGCCATTTGTCCGAAATGGTGTAGGGTTTCCTGCCCGAGCAGGGGGTTGGACTAGATGACCTCCAAGGTCCCTTCCAACTTTACTACTATTATTATTATGAAGAAGAAGAAGAAGAAGAAGAAGAAGAAGAAGAAGAAGAAGAAGAAGAAGAAGAAGAAGAAGAAGAAGAAGAAGAAGAAGAAGAAGAAGAAGAAGAAGAAGAAGAAGAAGAAGAAGAAGAAGAAGAAGAAGAAGAAGAAGAAAGTTGGAAGGGACCTTTGAGGTCATCTAGTCCAACCCCTGCTCAGGCAGGAAACCCTGTACCATTTCAGACAAATGGCTGTCCAGTCTCTTCTTAAAAACTTCCAGTGTTGGAGCATTCACCACTTCTGGAGGCAGGTTGTTCCACTGGTTAATTGTTCTAACTGTCAGGAAGTTTATGATTGGAAGTTTATGATTGGAAAACTTTAAACCGCCGCTCTTGGTTATCAGGTATCTAGTAAACTCTTATTAAATCACCACCAGATTTTATACCAAAATTGCAACTGCAATAAATTTGAAGTGCTCTTACATTTGTCAAATCTCCATTCTATAAGTGGAGAAACACTGTCCTTGTGACAAACATGCAATCCAGAGGGAAGATATGTAGGTTACAGGCAACAAAATGGAACCAAAATGAGTTTATTGGGAAGGAGGCATTGATGACACAGAAAGATCTGAAGTAGCTTTTGTCCACTCTTCTGGGATTAACTGAAGAACTTTTGACGGTTATCTGTTTGCACAGTGGGAAGCAGTAAAAATGTTTTAGGAAACATGGGAATCTCCCAGCTATGCATTACTGTATGTTCAGACCAAAGCTGATCCTTTGCATAGTGATGTTACTGTATTCCAATGACCCTTTTACCAGTCTGAAAGCAAAACCTTATACCGTGACCTTCTTGGCTCCCTAAATGTGATTGGATAAGAGGAAGCCATTCTGTTGCTTATCTTCTTAGTGACTTCTCCAGGGTTAGTTCACACTGCCTATGCCAGCATGTGCTCAGCAGGTCTCATATTCAAACCCATTTCTTGGTGGGGTTGAAATAGGCTTATTTTATGTGCACAGACTGCATTGAGTTTGATGGACCCATGATTGGCTGTTTCACTATTTCATGGCCAAAAATATTGACTTGCTGGATTATTGCAGAATGTTCACGTCACTCCAAATGCTCTTCAAAATATTTAGTTGCTATCAGCATACAGTCATCAAGTAGAAGAGAAGGGGAAGCCAAGGGTGTATCAGATGTGCAAACCAGTACAAGGTTTATGGCGATAACGCTTCATAAATTCACAGCGTTCATAAGAAGTTCAAAGACTAAAGCCCTAATGAGCTCTCAATCCGTCATCTAACATAGGAACTCCTCTAGGCTCAGCTTGTGGGGTTGCTGTATATACACTGTTTGACTTGCTGAAATCAGTGCTCTGCAGTGGGGGGTGGGGAAGGGAAGTAAGTAAATAAAATTAGTGTGGCTATGGGGGCTTTTGCACTGACAAATTTCCCTTCTGTCTCTCCCTCCATGACAAGGAGATGTAATCCCTGCATCGGAGATGCCTCTGGGAAAGGGGGGAAAGGAGCGGATGGGGGGGGGGGAGAGGGAAGGAATTTGTACAGAAATCCTAATAATGCAGCAGCTGAAGAGCAAAAGAATGAAAGAAGGTTGAGGGGGTGGTGGGATTTAATTACATTTTGATCTAAAGGACATGTGTGGGGAGAACCATGTCTCTGTGTGTCTTCATTAGAAGCCCCCTTATGGTCATCGTTTTTGTCCTCTGATGCGTATATGGGGCACCACCACAACAGGTCCTTCCCTGCCCTTCAGGTACCAAAAGCGAGGGGAGGAAAGTACCGTCTGTCCACAGCTCCTGCTGCTCTTCTAGGTTCACCCAAGGGGTAGTTTTGCAGTGCGGGGTTGGCTCTTAATGGGCGGTATTTCTCAATCGAAAAGGAACGCCTTTCCCACCACCATCACCCTTTCTCTTTTCTTCCCCTAAAGATCCCCGGAAAAATTCTCCCGTGGGGCTTTGTGGAACATGCCTATAGCTGGATCCACATCTCTCACTTCCCCTCCTCCCTCCCTCCCTCCCTCCCTCCTCTCATTTGTTTATTTTGATGGGCAATCAAAGCTTCCCAAAGGGACAGCAAGAGGTTTTGGTGCGGCAAGAACACGAAACATTTACAAAGAGAGAAGGTTGTTTTCATTCTTCCTGTCCCCCCCCCGCCTCCCTTGACACAGCACATGCAGGTGCACACACAGAGACACACACATACGCCACCTTCTGAAAAATGGAATAAAATTGAGTTGGCATCTGTCCTTGGACTTCTTTCCAAAGACAGAGCTTGAACTTCTGCCGTGGCTCAGGCACCTGAGCCCAAAGCTCCGAAATGCCCCTCCAAAACCCCCTTTGGACCTTCTCCTTTCTATTTTCATTAAGCCCAAACAGGAGTGCTTACCTGGGCTCTGGCCAACTTCCACCTTATTCCCTCTCCTCCTGTGCCTTGTTCTTTCCCTGGCAAACTGACTCTAAGTCTCTGAATCTGTGTCCTATTTTACTCTCCTGCCCCACAGGAACCAGGAGAGGAGGTAAGCTGCCAGCCACAGAGACTTAGCCAGCTGCTGTGAATGGCTGGGCAAGGGAGTTGAGAGTTGTGGAATGATCCTGTCTGTATTTCCCTGAGGTATTAGGAAATTCCTGCCACTCGCTTTGCCTCTTTTACTGCTCCCCCCATCACTCAGGCAGGCTTTGACTAAGCTATAAATATTACAACTGGCTCTGAAGCCATGGACACCCCACCCGTGTGGCTGGGCTGAAGAAGCATGTTGGCTTTTGAAAAGGATATTCTGGGTTCCCTCCTCTTGTGATCCATTCTGGAGGAAAAGCAGGTCTCAGTTTCCTAGCACGGAAGACTTACTAGAAATCCTGCCCCTACTGAGATGATTCTCACACTTACGTTGCTCACTTGATGATTACACCATCATATGGATTTTCCTGTGTCACGATGCAACTGCTACTTTGCTATTCCCTCACCTCCCACTGAAGGCTAACATTTTTCAATAGAGCCAGTTCACGCATTCGGCTGCTTTTCATTATTGAAGTCTATCTCGCCTTTCTAGATGACCTGCAAGAGTGGAAAGAAAGACATTGTGCACATTTTCTAAAGCACTTCTGAATCTTGACAGGACAGCAACAGTGACATAGAATCCAAGGGCTGGAAGGGACCTCTTCTAGTCCAGCCTCCTGCTCAAACAGGAGATCCTATACCATTGTAAAAGTGTGCCTCTCAAACCTTTGATCTGCTTCCTCCAATCACACCTTGTGTGCAGCTTGCTTTTTTGCAAGTAAAATAATCATAACACGTGCAATCAAGGCAGGGCTGTCCTTCGCCCACAAAAGGCAGAATACAGGGCTAAATTTTGGTTGCTCATTGCTTCCAACAATGTTCTAGCGTAATATCACATAGCTCATCCTTCACATTCAATCCCAGAACCTGTTTCTAATTTGAAGAAATAACAACAACAATAATAATAATAAAGTTGGAAGGGACCTTGGAGGTCATCTAGTCCAACCCCCTGCTCAGGCAGGAAACCCTATAACATTTCAGACAAATGGCTGTCCAGTCTCTTCTTTAAAACTTCCAGTGTTGGAGCATTCACAGCTTCTGGAGGCAGGTTGTTCCACTGATTAATTTTTCTAAATCATAAATAGACTTTTTCTGAGCAGGTGAACAGTTTACAGTATTTTCTGCATTTTTGTATTATCACCATACATTCACACAAACACACACACACACACCTACTTCAATATATTCCTGACCTGCGGGCAGGGTTGTCAGCATAGTGGTCATTTTAGCCTATTAAGGCCAACCTTCTACTCATCATCTGCACTCTCCTATCAGAGAACTTACATTAACAGCAGAGGTCTTCTTCTCTATTCTCCGGCATCTGAGATAGATCAAGGGGTTAAGTGGCATTTCAGTCACCTCACCAAAGCCATGCAACTGCCTTTTTGAGAAATGTGTATCTAGCCTCCTTCTGGATGACCTTCTGCTATGCGGTTAAGATATAGTTTTCATAAAGCATTTGACAGGAGCTTGATAGGATGATGAATTGTTTCACTGAATTGATTTTATTACTGATACTTTTTGCACCACTTATCTTATTTTTTGTGATATTTTCTGGATTATGTTAGCTCTCGTGGCATATTTTAGAAGTCAGAAAGTGGGATATTAACAATAGTAGGAGAAGCTGCAGGAATAGCAACCTGAATAAACTTCTCACCAAAATGTTTTCTGTGTCCTTAAGCTTTAAACCTGATTCTGTCCTATTAATGCATAAAAGAAGATGGATGTCCAGGTTTTATAACCAAAGGCTCCATAGCTGAATTCTCCCTGCACCTATCACTTAATGTGGACACAAATTTCTGTGAATGCCTTTCTTAAATTTGTGTTATCAAAGCTTGATTGAGAAGAAGGCACACATAGGAGATGAATGCATAATGGAAAATCACAGGCATGGAAAGAGTTCAGTTACTAAACTGAGATACATCCTTATCTATTCATGACACATTTGTCATACAGATACTTTGGTAGGTTCCATACAGTACATTTAGCCTGGCTAATGAATCAACCCATTTCTCTGGATCTTACAAAGCATCTATATTATGAATTAACCAAATGAGCTGTGTTCTCACAACACGTAAGCTGCACAGAGAAAAAATAAAAAACAAAAACAAAATCTAACTAAGATTAAAATTAACTCAAGCCTGATATGTTTTGGAAATTCAGCCATTAAGTCTTTATCTGACCAGGTTGTGTGAACAAATCTACTTTGTATGTGCTTGGGTGCTAAGGTACTCTGAAATCAGAGCTCAGCAGATATGATGGTTATTTTGAGCACAGGTAAGGCTGAAGAGGTCAGAAAGGTTAAGATGGCAGCTACAACAATACAATCAGATCTCCCATCCTTTGTAAATGTGCATTGCATATAAAAAGGAGCAGACTTCTATCGCACAATCATTACCATCATCTTAACTTTTTGACTTCCCTGTACATAGGTTTGTGAAGATTTATTTTTTAAAAATAGCTTTATTTGATTATTTTTATAATTCTTAAAATATGTGTATCTACTGATAAACATGTCCATTAACATACATATTGCTTGTTTCCAAGCAGAATCAAGGCTAATTTTACATGTTAAGATTATCAAATCGCTAATCAAGAGCAAATACACAAGGAAAACAGTAAAATGTATGCAAAACATTGTGTCCCCAATAAAATTCTCTTGGACAAGTGGATCAGAAATTAACTCATTTGCACTTCACTCACAGGCCTGTCCAGACACATATTGCCAAAAATATATCATTTTCCTTCCTATTGAATCATTGACCACTAATGGAAATATCTCTATAAATTGTAAATTTAATTTTTTTATGGTTTTTTCAAGGAAAGCATGATAATGAGCAAGCAGATTCCTTCCTTCTATACCCAGTTTTATCAGCTTACATGTCACTTTATCCATAGAAGCAACAATAGGGCCTTTCTTTTAGGCAACATACACTTTTACTGAATTAAATTAGTGAGTGAATTCAGATTCCTTTATACAGAGTCTTCTCAACTACTAAACCAACTACTAAACTTCATCACAGTGATAAAATTTATCTAACAGAAGTGAATATATGTAGCTCAGGGTTGAATTATGAAGTCCTTGATGCAGACACAGATTCCATAATGTAATTTCTAAAATTATTTGAAATGCTTATCTGTAAATCCTTTGCTCTGAAGGACAAACTATCTTGGTTATCTTCTCTTGCAAGGATTTCTATTATATTGAGGGGGAGAGGTGCAAGAGGACAGACTTACCCTTGCATCTCTTACCCTCATGGCTAGAAACTGTGAAATTGGTTCAACTTTCTTGTCTTATTAAGGTAAACATGAGCTCATAAACAAAGGTGAAAAGATGCAACAAAATCTAGCAATAAAAAGGTAAGAACCCTCTAAATCCACCTTGGTTCCTAGAGACTTCATGCCCATAGTCCACACCTATTGTTTCCTTGACTCATTGCACAAGAGGTTTAAGATTGACTTCTCCTGGGTTTTTATTTTTCATCATCCCATTTAGATGATAACCTAGGATTTTCCTGGGGGAATCTGCCTGCCCAAAATGATTCCAGGTCAACTCTGCTTAGCTCTTCGGGATCAGCTAAGTCCTGCTCATATAGGCAGGAACAAAGTTAAAACAAAGTTTAAAACTGAGCCCATGACAACATATAGTAACAGAACGCAAAAATTGAAATGAAACATCCAGTGAAACAAGCAAACAAAAAGTCACTCAGGGATAACCCTTTCATTGTGACCCCCAAGTCTCAGTTAAGGAGCTCAATGGGACTCTTAAAATACCGGCATTGTTTTTTTCTTAAGCTGAGCTTCTTTCATCAACCAGCAGTGAGGTGCATGCCTAAATAGGATCTCAACTACTCAGCGCATCTGTTGAGTCTAAAATATCAGGATAGCAGCTGCAACTGTGCCTTCAAAGTCCCACCACTTTTTAATATGAGTTCTGTGTAAAAAGGGGTGGAGTTTCCATTACGAGTCACAAATCTCATCTTGATTTTTATGATTTCCTTGTGGACATATCCAGGAGCACTTTTTTCAAATTATTTGCCAAATATGCAAAGCCCAGCTATCCAGGACAAAATAGACCTCTCAGTGGTAGAATTTGTTTCAGGTGAAAGTGTCTCGTATCAAACTAAGCTTTTATAAAAACATGGGAACTTTTTCAGGGAAAAAATATTATAAATAAATAAAATCTCTTTTAGTCAGACTAATAACAATAGGGTTTATACACTGCAATGACCCATAATATGGTATATTTAGTTGAAATTTCCCATATTGGGGGAAGACAGCCATTGTGGTTTCCAAACTATGACTTGTGTCTTAGCATTATATGTGAGCCCAGCTACATATGGTTTGGCTTAAACCACCACTTTAGTCAAGAAACTTGAGTTAAAGTAACCATATTTTAGCATGATGTGCAAATTCACCCATTTTCCTATTAATGTGAGGATTTATTTTACTGGCAATTGTAACGATTGCTACGATACTTTAAGATGTTTGAAGCATCCTAAATAATTGCATAATGTATTGCACTATTAATTATTATGAATGAAAACAATAAAGGCAGGCCTGGCAGTAGACTTAGGGAATCTTCCAGAAACCATGCATCCTATCCTGGCAGCGCTATCAGATTTCATGCCCTATCCAAATGCTGGGGTATCTACAAGAAGGGGTCAAAATCTGCAAGATGGTAGCTAGGTGTCACAATGCAAACTTACACAATTATGACATGAGCTTGGGTCACTACTATATCCAGCATCTTGAAAATTCTGACACATTCTGCAGAATGTCCAGAAGCATCACCGCTGCCTCTGTCTTCCATTATTCTTTGGGCTTCTTGTTACTGTATGTCAGACATGTCAAACTCGCAACGTCACATGACGTCACGTGCCGTATCGGAGCTTTTTTTGCCATTGCCCACAATGGGGTGGGCACAGCTCCGGTATGATGATACCCCTGCTGTATGTGATTGTTTCTGTGCTCTCATTTGGTTGTGTAATGTAGTTGCTAGTGCATGTAAGGCAGATGATGGCCCTAGGTACCAGACATGCCATAAAGCAAATTATGTTAATCAACTAATTGGAATAAAGCAATCATTTAGCTACCATCTCTTCTGATGCCAGTACATCCTTGGACAGAAAATGGGTTAAAAAGGGAATCCAAGAGGCAGTGGCCACTAGCAGCAATCTAGGGGAGGAGGGGAATGGAAGTGGGGTCTTGGTGCTGGACTGGACGGTGCCATGGGACATTGATACCATTAAACTTGAACCCATTTTTCATTGTAATAAGAATGTCCCTTTCAAGCATCTCTCTTTGAATAGAAATAACTGAGGTCACACAGCCTTTTTTTATTGTCATGACATTTGAAGTCAGAAAATATGGTAATGCCACTACAGTATACTCCCAGAAGTAAGGGAAATGGATCAAAAGTCCCTTATATTGCCCTCAAGCTTTGAAACATAAAGCAGACTCAGGTGTTTTTTGCATCCTAATGGAGATGCAAAATCTTTTATGAATTGTAATGTCAGCAAAGACCCCCAAGGGAATGCTTGAAGTTAGAAAGTTTCTGATCCTTCCTATCTTTCACTTAACAGGCAATATGCTCATGTGAAGCATGAAAATTGTTATTAGCTTGTAAAGCATTGCTCTCAGGCATGTAATTAGAGATGATAATCCTCACTACCCCAGACACCTCCGTAGATTTTGAAAGATTACATCAGTGCTTGCTGTCATAATTTCAGCCTGAGCAAAATTCCAGGATCTGTTTAAGTATGGAGCTCTCAGTCCTGGAACACACAACAGGAGAATACCCCCGAGCCTATGAAGATAATAATTCCATTGCTGCCTTATATTTGGATCCTGTGCTGCAGATTTGATTGGTGTGATATTGCAAAAGCCAAAGACGTAGGCAAACACAGAGGCTTTCTACCTGCACCTCTCCTTTTAGAAATTAACAATAAATAATTAATACAACCATTTCCTTACATTTGTTTTGAAAAGGTAATGCCTTCACAGCCCCTCTCTTGTCAAAGCAACTGTGAATCTATGGTTATTACATTGATTACAGGTTTGTTAATTAGAATAAATTTGTATCTTGTTTTTTGACAAAAAAAATGCAAAGTGCTATACAGTATTAATGAACTTAATTACATTAAAAGCTGTACCCCCTAAAACAAATTATCCCACCAAACCAGGAACTGGCAATTGATGTTTTCTTTGCTCTCTCATCTTTTTTTTATTATTATTAAAAAAATTTAAAATTTTACAATAAAAACCCCCTTCCCCAATCCCTCCCAACCCACCCCAAAACCCTCCCCCATTCTTCCCAGAGCTGAGTACAGGCTTAACTAGATCTTAAAAGAAAAAAAGTTTTGAACCCAAATAAACCTTAAGCAAATATAATTACACACAATAAACAAATTGTAAAATACTTTAACTCCATTGTATATAAGAAACAAAGAGAGAAAAAATAAAAAAGAAAATAAAAAGAAAAAAAAATAAAGAATAATAACAATTACAGTTCTTAAACTTATATAAATTATTCAAAAGCTAGATAATATTTTCTTATATCATACTTATATTGTATAAAATTTATCCATCTTTTCCACACCGAAAGATACTTCTCTTGCGATTGATCTTTCAAGAAAGCCGAAATTTTTGCCATTTCCGCTAAGTAGGAAACTTTAAAAAACCATTCTTGCAAAGTAGGCAAAAATTCCTTCTTCCAATATTGCCCTATTAACAACCTAGCCGCAGTAATTAAATTTAACATTAAAATAATCTCTTATCATCACAATCAGAAACAATACCCAACAAAAACAATTGTGGAGTAAATTTTATCCTTCTTTTAAAAATTCTTTGAATATTCCACCATATCTTAATCCAAAAAGCTTTAATACTTTTACATGACAACCAAATATGATAATAAGTAGCATCCGAGCAACCACATCTCCAACATTTAGGCTGCAGGGTTGGATACATACGAGACATTTTTTGTGGATCAAGGTGCCATCTATAAAACATTTTATAAAAGTTTTCCCATAAGTTTTGGGCTTGCGTGAATTTAACATTCCTCACCAAAATAATCTCCCAAGTATCTAATAAAAAGAAATCTTTCTCAAAGGGCTTCTGCTAGGCTGAACACCTCAAAATTAAAAAAAGTTATTTAAGAAAGGGATAATGTTCAAGACTAACTAATTAGCAGATGTGGTGCTCTGTATTAACTCAGCTGCAATAAACAGTAATGGTGAGAAAATGTGAGAAGCAGCAATAACCTGGAGGCCCATAAAGTCATGTAATATATCATTAAATCATTAAAGAGAGAAAGACTTCAGAAGTCTTTGAGCTCTTTAATCAAACTTGTTTAAAGATCTGCTTCCTGGAAAGGACTATTGTTTCCAGCCTGTTATAAACCTCCTGTATAGTCCTGATGGACTATTATGGAAGAGTACAGAACATTGGACCAGCTGAACTAATCTAGAAGGATGTTTAGGTATTTTAGAGACAGGCAGGCAAGGAAAATAGTACATGTTTCTGCTCTAGCTAGGTCACACTAAATCAGGGCTCGTCAAACTTGGCCCTTTTATGACTTGTGGACTTCAACTCCCAGAATTCCTCAGCCAGGCATGCTGTCCTGTCCACAAGTCATAAAAGGGCCAAGTTTTGAAGACCCCTGCATTAAATAACTATAGGTCAAAAACAATCCCTTTAGTGTTTTGGGATGAACAGATTAGCTTGGAGCTATCTGATTCTCTAGAGCAGTGTTCCTCAATCTTCGCAACTTGAAAATGTATTGACTTCAACTCCCAGAATTCCCCAGCAAGATCCACTGCTTTAGAGACTGGATCCATAAAGATTTCCATGGGGGAATTCCTGAACTACATAGTTTACACACATACTTCACGCACAGTTGAACAGAGGCATTTTCTGAGTTCATCAAATGATGGCTTGCTTTCATATTTAATCATTTCAGTCTGCCCTATCCTTGTATTGGAGAAAAGAAATGATGCAGCTGTGAAGTAGGAACAGGGTTGCTTGTGAAGTTGGAGAGACACTTTTCAAAGCCACCCAAGAACAGTTGTTGTATGTGGGTGCAGTTTATCACCCGCCTTGTCAATTCTAATCCAAATCCCAATTTTTTGTCTCTCTCAGCTGCAGAGGAAAAGGCCTTCTGCACAGACAGAAGTTTAATTTTCTGCAAAGATTAATCTCATGATCAGCAGTGGCTCAGGATGCTAATCCCCCTGACACACACACTCACAGAGGGTTTCTGAACTCAGCAGAAATAACAGAAGGTTTGATAGGTGGGGAGAGGGTGCTACTGCATAAATTCCACTTTTGCACCTGAATTTGCCTGGAAGGTGATGCATGGACACCATTGTCACCCAGTTTGATCATTCTGAGGATGAGGTGCTTGTGAAATTTCCACTAAGGTGACTTGATTCTCAATTCTGTAACTATTAAGAAATGTTCATTTAGCATTATCTAAGGCAAAAGGGAAGGAAAATAGGAGGGATGAAGGAAATTCTAATTGTGTGTTTGGTTTATTAAACCAGCTAAGAACCCTTAATATATATTTCCACTTACAAATACTTGGAGAACATTTTTGTTCTAATGATGCAGGTTGCTAGAAAAATAAAGTGATCAAGATGCATGAGATTCAAAGTTAAGTATTTTGGGTGCATTTATGGTTTTATGTATATGTTTGAGTATAGAGGGAGGGAAGAGGGGAGGAGGGAAATAGAAATATCTGTGCTAGATGTTGTTAACAAGGTGGATTCAAAATATACTCCTGTCATCTCCCCAGAAAATCTAGAGTTATTTTAATTCATGAGATAGGAAACGCCACCAATACTTTCTCTCCTCTGATAGAGAAAAAGAATAATTGTCATTCTATTCTAATTAGAAAAGAAAGATTGATCAAAGACTCATCAACTGCTTATTGTCTGCTATTTTGTACTACTTATTCATTTACTAAGCAAATTTATATTTAAATTATTGGTGGGATGTTTAAATTTATATTTACTTTGCATTGGAGAACTGTGTATGAATCAGCTAACTCAGTCTTCCACCCTTCCAAAGTTGGCAGAATGAGGACCCAGATTGTTGGGGGCAATATGCAAATAATATAAAACCCCCAGAGAGTGCTGCAAAGTGCTATGGTGCAGTATATATGTTTAAATGATATTTCTATTGCTATGGCTATTCTGGGCACCACATTTCCAGAAAGCTCTTGATAGGTTAGGGAAGGCCCTGTGAAGACAAGCTGAAGAAACTGGGGATGTCCAATCTGGAGGAAAAAAAGTCTGAGAGGCATCACAGTTGTGTTTAGGCAGCACTGAACATCCCCAGGATGCCATAGGGAAGATGGTCAGGGACTATTTTTCATGGCCACAACAACTAAGACCAGCAATGAGGAATTTAAGTGCAGCTACTCGGATTTCATTTCAATGTGAGGGAAAAAAAAAGCTTTCTGACAATAAGCTCTCTCAACAGTGAGACAGGCCACCTATGGAAGTGTTGGTCCTCTATCTCCAGAGATAATGTATGTGTACTTTGTTTGCTGGGGCATGTATACCCCACCTACTCAACAGATTCTGGATTTTAATAAGCTATATATCTGCCTTTCAAGGACGAATTTCCTCCACATTGCAGAAGGCAGATGAAAAAATTATCACGGTTCCTTCCAACTCCACAGGTTTTACGATTCTGAGGTTTTCATAGCACTCATTATCTACTGTGCAAGAAAGCAGTCTCAACTCTGCCTTATTCTACTATCAATAATGCTGAGAGATAATCCTATGCTTTTAAAGACTTTTCCTGGTTGTTTCTTCTACTCAAAATGGTATACAGAATTTGGATCAAATTGAAATGTTGCATGAATTAAGGACTGATCTACACTTATCTTGCTACCATCTGATGCTTAATTAGGATCCAGCCCTAACTGTGCAGAGTATAATGGTATGACCTCGATTATTAAGTTTTCATCAACTGTGGTACGAGAGTTCTATGTCTCCAATGCAAGCTATATGTCCAAAATGCAGAATATGTGCTCTTATTTAGGAATGATGCCTCCTATAAGAGTATGTATATGGCGGAAGTTTGGGTAGCAAAGCAGGTCCACCAGATTGTGAAACAGGGAAAAAAATACATTCCAATGCCCATTAGTCTTGCTTTGCCAGGGACTGATATATGAAAAATGTCCCATGTGGGCAAGAATGAAAGAAAAGGATGAACTGGACAATGAGTAATGTGGATTAAAGGAACAAAGATCCTGCCCTCTTGAACTGATTATAATACTTTTATGCTTACTTTCCCCCCACACACATACACTTGACACACATTAACTCTGTGGCACATTTGTTGTTTAAAATTTCCTATCGTGATTTTTGGCACTATGCCTATGCTACAGGCAAATCAGCAGATTTCCATGACAACACCTGTCTGTTCTTATTAAATCATACAGGGGGCCAAGCAAAGCTAGGGTCAGAAAAACCTCTATAGCTGGTATCAGTAATGAAAGCAACTGCTAATAATATCATTTCTTGAGTGTATAATGCGGTATGCAGAGAATTCTCATTGTACTAGACAACAGGAAGATATATAGTAGATACCAAGATAGAACAGCATTCATGAAAGTAGCAATAACAAGTTGCTATCTGTAGACTCCTCCCTGTGATCCTTGGTGGAGAAGAAATTGTAGTTTGGAAATGCTTATATATGGACATGAAATAATCACTGCAAAGAATCATAGTGTCCCAGTCCCCACTCTTGACTTAGGAACAATCATAGAAAATTACATTTGTCTCTAAAATTCTATTTCTACCCTACCCCAATTTAGTTCAAATGTTCTACTTCTATGATTTCTGAACTCAGATCTCAAGCAGTAACTATAGAAAACTCTTGCATCGATGGGGTGGACTTCCCAGAAGTCATTCTGAATGCTGCTAGGTTTATGAAAAATCCACTTAAAAACCATGCTTACATGAATGGTATTATGAATCCTCATATTTAATCAAATTTGTTTTACAAGATTATACATGGTGTTACCATTTTTGCATCATCAGAACATTTGCAGTTTTGTACTCAACCATCATTCTCCAATATGAAGAACATTACATTTTAATTCTGCAAAACATATTACCAAATAGTCACAAAAAAGCTCTGATACACATAAGCAACTGTTTATGCAGACTTAAAACAACACAAAATGTGATGCC